TCGATTATAGAACTGCTTTAACGTATTCTTAAAATATTTTCCGTGTAAGGTAAGGTAAATATATTTGACTACAAACATTTGTTAGTGATTATTTGATATTATTAATATATATTTTAAAGGTTTTGTGAGACGGGGGATTTGTTACTAATGCCCCTCTACCCCGGTACAAAAGTAACACCATTTGAAAGCAATAAAACGCAGCGAAAATATAGAAAATTACGAAAGTTTTTATGATTAAAACGAACCTCTTTCAGTCTTGTTTTAATGAGATAACATTAGTAATAATACTGATAATTAGTAACATCTAAAAACAAAAATAGTAGTCTTAGTTTTAATGGCAATGCTTTTTATGGTCAGGAATTTGAAATTTAGCGAGAAAAACTTATATTAATATACCTAATCTAAACACAATTAACCTAAATGCAAAATTTTGTACTCGAAAATTAGTTTTTAGTTTGAATGAGATGTTGTTTGTGACAACTGCCCCCTCTCTATTACCATTAGCCCCAGAGCATAATATTAAAGTAGGTATCTGTTACCGTATCAAAAATTACAATATAATAATGTTTACAGACTATGTTCCAAGGAAGGGCTTGTCCGTAAACCTGTGCTCTTTATTCTTAGCACTTCGCCTCTTCTTTTTGTGTCCTTTTAATATAATATTAAAGCTGTATATTGTATATAACTGGAGACTCAAGCCGAATGTGTAAAGTGCACTCACCTCTAGGATTGCAATCACTTTCTTGTTTTGAAATGAAGGGTTGTAGTTTCTACAGTGCTTATTTGTAAAAGTGTTTTCAACTCCAAACAAAGTACGCGATGTGCATTAAGCGTTTATGAGAGGCAAACAACCTCGGAACTTCGGCAGAGACCTTTCTAGTCTACACTGCCTGTCACAGGATAAGAAGCGAACATCTTAAGCATTATGTACACAGGCTTCGTTAACGAGCTTAATACAAACTCAGCATATCTGTTCTAACTTATATTTATCGAAGTCGTCTTCTCTGTCTGTCTTTTGTCCAAAAAAGTAGGTTTATTTATTTTTTAATTTATAATATCAAGTGACGGGACGAACAAGCCGTGCGCCTGATGGTAAGCTACATGCCTGTCCATAACAGTTGCAGTGCCACTGAGAGATTTAAATCGCAAAAATTTAAGGGGCACTGCCACTGCGCCCGTCACCCTGAGACATAAGTTGACAAGTCCCATGTGCCTGTAATTTCACCAGCGCCCTTACCCTTCAAAACCGGAACACAGTAATGCGGACATTACTGCTTGGCGGCAGAAACAGGTAAGGTGGCAGTACTATCTTGGACGAACTCTTTCACAAGGAGCTCTATTGCTACTAAAAGGTTTAATTTTGAATCTCCATCTAGTCAGTCTATCTTTAAGGCCAGTCACTCCGCTGGTGGATATGCGACAATCAGAAAGAATAAGTTATTGTAATTGCAATGGTGGCATTACCCATGGTTGATACTTTAAGCCTACAAGCATGACGTTATAAGAATCATGAGACATTAAGAACATTGCTGAAAAATGGTAACACCATTGTATTTATGGGCTCTACGCTACTATAACAAACTGCACGCAGTACTTGTTAATAATAGGTATGAACACGAACAAAAGATTTTCAAAAAATAAGGAGTCCTTTGCGAGCGTGATATAATATGGTGCAGTGGCAAACAATACCACGTTTCCAGCTTAGAAAAAAATCTGATTAAAACATAATCAGACACATAATTTGGTACTTGAAAATGTAAAAATAATTATTTTCAAAGATTTTGTTTGTGAAGGGCTTCTTCGAACCTTGACCCTAAGGCACTTAAGATGCTGATCGCTGAAGAGGAAAATTATATCCACATCGCGCGACCGTCTTTTAAGCGAAATTCTGTCTAAATACTTATAAAACAAAATGAAGGACCTAAAAGAGGATATTTAGTCGTAATTTATTATCTTCGCTTAAAAGGAAATTTGAATATAAATAATGAAATCCGTAGTTTTTAATTTCTTTTTTATTTTCCCCTAAAACCTTTCCTCTTATTAAACAAGGGTTACTACGTGTGTGGGAATATAACATTTGCTATGTAACCTTAAACTAGGAGTGAATATTCTTTAAAGAACAACGAACTGCGTATGTTGTTACTTTTTGTTTGTTACAATAAATACACGGCCTTAGATAATAGAATTAAAGATTAGATTAGATATTTTGTGTATTTCTGTTTTGTTTACAAAATCAGAAGCAGTTATTTTACCTACGCAGAAAAGATGCACCTATCGGCTTGTAAAATAGATTATCTAGTCTCTGGAAGTATAGTCTCGTTCTCGACCGACATCCGGCTGAAACAATTATTGTCACATGAGTAATACTCGACAAGTATGAAGCTTCATTCGCATCATGCGTTTCGCACATTACTGTGTGAGCATTACTGCGTTCCAGTTTTGAAGGGTAAGGGTGCTGGTGAAATTACACGCACATGAGAACTTATGTAAGTCTCAGGATGACAGGCGCAGTGGCAATGCCCCTCAGATTTTAAAACTTTAAGTGGCACTGCAACTGTTATGGCCAGGTGTGTCGCTCACCACGAGGCGCACGACTCGTTCGTACAGTCACTTGGTATTATAAAAAAGGCGAAAATGAATAGTCATTATTTAGATGTGCATGCTCCATGACCCCATCGTTACTTTTCATCAGGTGGAATGGAGGTCAAATGCGTTGAAAAAACACTTATTTTTTATAAAAAAAAAAATTATATAGGGCCCTTTCGAAATTAATGTTTGATTAAAAGCTCATAATCCACTAGTCTAGTAGTACACACTCGTATACGTTTTAAAAATTTGGTGAATACTTTTCCTTTTCGCGACATTTTCCTTCAGAATTAAATCAAGAGAAGGGAATTTTCATAGTTCATTTCATTTTCCGCAATCTACTTTTATTGTTATTGTCAGTATGAAACACATCGAGTATATAACCAGAAATAGAGACGAAATAAGGGCCATACATTCCTGGTAACTCATCAGTGATACATCACTTATATATCAACTCTCGTTTGCACTGATGTATAGACAGCACCAACAACTGATCTGTGTGCATGTCTCCGTATATTCCAAAAATATTTTGTAATATTCTAATAATGGCGTGCTGTTCCATTCGGTGGCGTGGGGAAAAACAGCAAAACATCTAATTACAAAACAAACGGAATCACATTTCATCGGTAATTAAATATTAAACATGTCTGCAATTGACGTCCAATATAGCAAAGCTCAAGTTAGCTGGTCAATTTGAAGAGAAACAATTGACGATACCCATTGACGACAACCGTCAATTGTTTCTAATTCAGGCTGGCCAATCGGAGCACAGTTGTCACAGTAATGATATGGCAGAATAGTTTTCAAAAAAAATTAAATGACATTTCGTCTCTATTTCTGGCATGGACGTATTATACAATACGTATTATACGTCCTTGATTTCTGGTTATATACTCAAATCAAATCATATCAACTTTATAGAGTGGAAAGGCTATCGCGTTACCTAAGTACCTAAATAATAAAACTTTACATACTTAGAAAGACACGTAGAAGTAAAGGAAGCATTTGGCTTCTGCTTAGCCTTTTGACGCGCAGCGACTGTTGGAATGGAATGCGTTATTTAGATACCGTACGACACATGTACGTCAAGCATTCACAGATTCACATGACACTCATATCTGGAGCTCGCTGTTTTATATTGCTCTTTGTAAGAATTTTGTATTGTTTTTGATGTTATGTAAATAATAGTTCATTGACGCTTTCAAAAAAAGGGACCTTGTTCGAAATTGTATTAGTTCACACCAGTTTCAAGTTATGTAATCGTTGAGAGATGATTTTTATTACCGCTTGTTAAAATATCGATCATGTATGTGATCATCTTATTAGAACAACATGTAATTACAGATTATGCAACAACTTAACATGTTTTATTAGAACATAAGCATACTGTGTACGACTACTGTAAATTTCAGTAGCATATTATGAACTACGCTTTTAAGTATGAAAATAGTAATAGTAGTTCATGTGTCCTCACAATTGTCGCGTAGCGATCTAAGGAGGCTCTTAGATATTTATAGACAAAGTATTCTTGTGAGAAAATTCTTCCAGAAAATCTTAAAAGAGGAATATTACGTCTCAGTAGCCCGACAGTAAACAATGCTAATGAGGCAGCGGCAATGTTTGCATGACCTGTTTTACGTACTTGTAAACTCATAAACCAACTTCGTCATATAATAAAAATAAATGGACATGAATTGACAAAATAAAATCCCAATAAGTTCATTTTCATAGACTTTATTAAAGCCAGGAACACAACTTTCAATAAAATTACAGTTTAACATACACCGCAATAAAGTAAATAATCATGACATTGATACGTGGCTCAATTAGTAAAGAATTATCAAAGATACGTGGTTGAGATTTAGGGGTCTACTCGTCTGACATCCTTCCGAAACAATTACTGTCACATAAGTAATACTCAACCAAATTTAAAAACAATGTCAAGTGTGAAGCTTGACAACGCTTCTTTTAATTTTGTCGAGTATTACTTATCTGAAAGTAATTGTTTATGTAATACACCTTGGTACAACATACAACATCGAGATTTAAACATTTATTGTTAAGGTATTTATTTGGCTTAACATTTTTTCCGTCGGCTTGTCTCTTGACATCTATTACCATGACCATTGTCATCCTGAGCAATCCCATTACTAGTTTCATGCTCTACACTGGCATCATGTCATACGGCGTCAAGTCCAATAATACTCAATACTTATCGAAATAAGTATAAAAGTTCCTTTTCTATAAAAATGTTTCGTTTACAAAAAGCGTTCAGCAATCGATATAAAATATAATAGATAATTTTGAATGTAAATTAATTTTGTGAATAGTTTATTTTTAATTGACTTTGGTCTTGTTGTTTACCAAAAGATTTAAAAAATCAAGACTCTTTGTTAACGAATCTTATTAAGCTCAGCATTTTAGTGATATGAGATTTGTTCGGGATATGATTTTTGATAAAGATCGATTACTTTACTTTTAAAAGACTAGAAATGTAAGTTTATGTTTTTGTAGACTTTTTACGACCGCTTAAAACAATCTTTCAGGCATTTTGAATTATACATTTTCTCCTCGATTGAAACTCATTCCTTATTATAGTTATGATTTACATCTATGTAATGATTGATTATGTTATACTAATTGTTACAACATTGTTACATCATTTTTATTTAATATATTCACTTACTAATAAACATCAATATAATATATTTCTCTATGAATAAATAATACATATAAATTTGTATACACAATGAACATTTTGTCACGTAAGGATTTAAATTTTAAATGTAAAGCTAACGACGAAAATCAGTCCTCATAGACTATGTATAGAGTACAAAAAGTTTGACGGATAGGTGAAATGTAGAAAGCTCGATATAGCATAGAAAGACAAGCATAGTAATGTTTTATTTGGGCACTACAGTATGAATGAAGTTGTATATTTAAACCATAACAATCTCTACACCGTTTTAATACTATTTACGAGGTATAGGGTAGATTAATTGTATATAGAAAACTTTGAAAGCTGAATATGCAGAGTACGCAAGCAAGCAAGTATTGTGCAAGAATAGGTAGCCGTAATACATATTTAATTCATTATTTAAGAAATGCATTCGGCTTTAATCTTATACAGTGTAGTGAGTTGTACACCTACGCCGATTGAAATAATAATAAACATCGAGTCTTAAAGTATTTGGTCGGGAATTTCTAAGAGAGACTAACTAGGGACATAAGCTCCGAGGGTGCTCTATCTACACACATACAAAATTTTGAAAGTTCACAATACAGTTTTCTCTCATGAATAGAAGAATTACACAGTCTTGTAGTATTTTAATACAATAATACTGGTAGTGACATCTTAAATATACACGTATAATAATAGAAATATATAATTTTATAAAAAACAAAATTGAATTTTAAAAATATCTCTTTTTGTAAAGTATTTTTCATAATATATTGTCGAATTTTATGGACGTTGTGCGTAAATGTAAATTAATAAAAATAATTAATAGAAAATGTGTAAAATTATACATCAAAATAAATTTACTGTTCAGCAAATCTCAGTTTTTGTTTCTTAACGAAATCAGTCGCCAGTTTGTCCGCCGTTCGTGACTCCAGTATTTGTAAAATAGGGTGACCTGAAACGGAGTTTCGTCGTTAACACGTGGTAGAATATTGTGATAAAATGTTGCAGTGAAGTTTCGTTCTTTAAAGATTTATTATGTAAGTGCTAGAGGTCTTTTTAATAGGTACATTAAGGCCGTTGTCAAAGTGCGACCATGAGGCGCGCTCTGAATCTTAATTTGAATTTAAATTAAGAGTACTTGCTTCTACAGCTGTATTTACGTATATAAAATATTGTAAATTTGAAATATTAGCACTGTAAGCCTGCATCTTTTTGGTATTGTAAGAGCATCTTTTGTTATCCCATGATCAATCCAATTTCGTTGATAGCGGCTTTCTTAAATCTTTCAATAAAATAAAAATGGAAGACATTTTTATTGAACAGCGACCCTGACAAAGATAAACTTGTTTACTAACAGCGACGGTAAGCTTTTCTATTGTTGTTAGAAAACAAGGATCAGGTTTCCGGGCCACGCGCATATAAGCAAGTAGAAATGTCAAGTAACAAATATTATGTAGAACGACGTATAGGGAACGTATAGCGACGTATACTGTTTCGTGTAGGGAAAATGTTATTTAAAATTAATGTTGTGTAACATTACGAATAGATGTAGAAACTTACTTCGATCATGTAACTGCATGAGTGGCAGTTCGAGTGGACGTAGCGGATCAGGCGGCGCATGACTGTTCACACCAGGAATACGGGATAGGGCCACGAAAGCCTCCCCGGCGAAGTCGTCAGCTGTCAGTACATCACGGTCCCATACCGTCAGCGACAGTGCCGCTTGTGGTGACCGACAAGACTCCAAAGACACCGTAAACTCGAAGCACTCATCCCACACAGGATTCAAGGTTTTCTATGACAATATATTACATTTTTCTCTAAGTTTTTGTTATGACACATAGGACTCGACAGAACAAGTTCTTACAAGCATTCAAGCGTATCAAACCCTTTTGAGGATTTAGAATAACGTCCCGTTTAATAGTACTTATTTTATGGCCATTTCGTTTCTATAAATCTGACTGACTAGTTATTTCTGCGGGCAAAAACAATTCTACGTAAAGTGGATAATATGTATAAACAACATCAACCAGACTTACCTTCTGGACGTTTGTGGTTTGCTCATGAGTTTTCGGGAATAAACGCTTTGGAAGTAATTCTAGAACGACGAAAGGATCGCTCAGACCATTAGGATCGAGTGGGATGACATCACGAGCAGACAGAACCTCCACGCAGAGTGAGTCGTGATTGAAATAAACCCTGGTAAGAAAGGATTACTTTAATGAACTGCGCTTTTTCAATTACTCTCAATGTACCTCATATTTAATTTCTCCTATGATTTGTTTACCTGACAAGAATAGAACCGTACGGTGAAGGCATTGGAGTACGAGCCTGTTCAGCAAGTCGATCAGCAAGCCACAGCTCTAATAACTCTTCAGTAGCAGCTTGATGATACTGCATTCGTTGTTCAAGCCTTTGCCACTCTGCATTGTGTACTTCTGACATTGGAAGTCCTGTGCAAGAGCTACCGTTAGTTTGTGTACAATATGATAAACGACGTAATGGATTTTTTAAATAAATAATTTGCATACCTTTGCCTTCCGCGTGAAAGAATTCAGCAAGTAAGTCAAGTGCCTCTCGCAGTCTATGATGGTAAACCCTGGGTCTTTCTGCACCACCAGCATCGGCCTGAGCCGACACCTCCTTAAGAACTGCACTCCAGCAACCAGCCAAAGCTCGCGAGAATGCGCGAGGTAGAAGCCAAGTATTCAAGGATGAGAGGTGTTGATCCAGGAATTCCAGTAACGGTGTTATTGCCTGCAGGTAATATTTAATAAAAGACTCCAAATTCTGTGAACCCTGCAACTGTTTTAAATAATATCGAATCTCCACACTTTTCAATAAGTATGTACGCCGCTTCCTGGCGCAGAATAGTAATTAAAGTGGGATTTTCTATACATTCATTTGAAATGGTAGTTACTCGAGTTTAATCGTGTTTAATATTACCTGTGGAGTAGGCAGCGTATCCGGTGACCAGGCGAGATGAAAGACAGCTTTTCGTAACGGGGGACGTGCACGCGCAGCTAACGGAGCGGCAGCACGCGCAGACCGCGCGTCTAGAGTGCCCAGCGCACCGCGCACCAGTTGACGAGCGTTCTCTTCATTGATACTGTTTAAGTTATGACTTATTAAGGAATGATACTTTTTTGTTTAGTCTTAGTATTATTATGTTGACAATCGTGCGTTATAGCGGTCAACAACAAAGCAGTATTATTAAGGTACGTGTTTTTCGAAAAATTGATGATTTTTTAAAATAAATTCAAACCCGCAACATTAAGACGTTTCGCATATTGGAAAGTGATAAGCACCACATATTTGAAAAATGTGATATTTAGGAAATATTTTTAATATCATAATTACGTTGTTGGCCGTGGGAGAAAAGATCTTAACGATTCCGTGCTTGTGGTTGGGTTCGGTTTCCGTGCCCTTTAACTGGAATACGGAAATGCTGCTTTGCGTTATAATAGGTAGGGCTCACGGACACAAAACGGCATCACTGGTACAAAACGATAAATCAAATCCAAACTGGTTTAATAGAGTCTAATACTGTTGTTTATTTATATTCTTGTACACAACTATAATAGTAAAGTATTAAAATGTCCATAATAGTCATACATTTGACAACATTGTTGCAGTTTATAACTCGTTCTTAACATTGACGAATGAACAAACAGAAAGCGTTGTTAGTAGTCTACACGGGAGTCCCGTAACTGCCTCATAATAATAGCTTTAACAACGTGAATATACGAATATACTAAGACAGCTGTATATTTGCGGATGACGTACCATAATATAAGGTAAACGAAGTTATAATTACCGCAACGCCTTTTCTAATTAAAAGTTTGCCAAAGTTTCAAATTGGTATGGAATTTTTTTGGCGTGCCATGCTCAGGAGGTCTATTTAAAACAAGTAAATTTATTGTAAGTTTCTTTTTTGAAATAAGTCTGTACAGTTTACTAGTAACGTTGACACGTGTTTTAAAATGAAATGTTGTGTTTACTTTATAACTATAATTCGGTGCAAGGATTTTACACTAACAGGCTATACTGAATAACTAGTAAACAGAACTGTAGTGTAATGACATGTGACAGTGTAAGAGTGTAAAAGCTTGTACTGTACACTTACCACCCACTCATAAATAAAATCAAATAAAATCTCGGTTTCCATTTTCATTATCTTTTCTTATCTCACCGATAATTCACTAGCATTTTTTAAAATTATTGTCCGTTTACAATAGCAACGCAATTTATTGTCAAACGATACGTAAACCGCCACGTACCTGTCATTTCAGCCACCAGGTGGATTCGCAGAATTTCATTGCATGCATTCATAGTGGGAAATATCACTCTAGCTGCGAATTTTGGAGTGCTTTTCTGCGTAGTAGCACGATAGATCGGCTATACCAGAAAATAGGATTAGGAAATGTATTCTATGAAAGCACACGACTCTGTAGGTATATTTACAGATGGGGACCGATCGAACACATAAATATTTCAGGATCGCCATGCAGTAGAGTGCCTTCTACCACAGTAGAAGATACAAATTAAAACTACTCATGCAAATATTTCGAAACGCTTGGAGGGAAATTCTTGATTTTAGGCAAATTTTAGGTATATACGGTATATATTTGCTTCGCTATATTTTTATATATCCAATACTTTCGCCCATCGGAATATTGAATTTGTAATAAGTACACGAGTAACCATTGTTGTTTTTCGTATTCAGGCTGTGATTATGATTGTAAAAATTTTAATAATATATGAATTTAACGATAGCATTAGAGATACTAGTCAAATGTGAATGTGAATGGTTTGTTGTATTTTAGACATTATTTTATTTGAACTTATTTAGTGTTTCAAACTACGGACCTTGATAAGTAAAACGGTTTTGGCACTTACGAAAATAATGTAACTCCTACAGGCGGATTTGTTACTTTTCCGTTCCAGTCCTTAGAAAAACTATAAGTTATACTTTCATAGGTTTGTTACAGGTGGCTCTACGGCTAAGAAAGCCATTAAAATCCAAACATAAAGAATATGGATGCCTATTACGATTAGACTTTTATGAAGATCGATTCAAGTATATACGATTTAGCTATTTTTTTGTATCGATTCATTTCACTGCGATTTTAAAGAAAATCATTAAGGCGAATCGAATCGTCTAGATCGTATTTACAATTTAGACCAAACAGTATATTTCTGAACCCCTACTGAATCGTAAGTTTTATATTGGTCTACATGAAAAGTAGTTCGGAAACATCTAAATACGATAAGTCTACAGTATGTGGCGATTGTTGAAAGGCGTACAAAGAAAAAAAATATTATGGCAATTTAATCATTATAATATAAAAAAGGTGTTTTATTTATTACAAGCACAGACTTTTTTAAACGATTTCCGATTTTTATGAGATCGATTCAAAAGCATACGATCTGGAGGATCGATTCGGAGGCATATGGTCCATTACAATCCAGGAAATCCAAAAAATCGTGCATCGCTAAAGATGGACAATAGACACATAGAGAAATTCGTATAGTCTTTTTTTATATAATATCACTGACGGGACGGACAAGTCGTGCGTCTGATGATATGCTATACGCTTGTTCATAACAGTTGCAGTGCCACTCAAAGCTTTAAGTCGCAAACATCTGAGGAGCACTGCCAATGCGCCCGTCACCCTGAGACGTAAGTTGATAAGTCTCGTGTGACTGTAATTTCACTAGCATCCTAACCCTTCAAAACCGGGACACAATAATGCTAACATTACTGCTTGGCGGCAGAAATAATCTGTTTATCCGTTGCGCAGCTCAGTTGGGAGAGCGATTCACCTTGGTCTGGCAAACAGTCGCTGGTTCTATTTCAGCCGGATTGAAAGGTCTCTTTTGTATTTGTTCGATTTTTGTATCAATAATAATTTTAAGCAAGTGGAGTATTTTCACAAAAAAAAAAAAAAATTAATATCATGGTAGTAAAAACATCATGATATTTAATTAAATAAATAATAACTATATGTGTATATATATTAATATAAGATATATATTAATGATTGTGAATGTAATAAATAAACATAAAATAAAAATATTTTTTTGGAATAACCTTTTCGGGACAGAATCCGACACGAAATTGTAATAACAGTCTATCTAACACAACCACTGTTCCTTTTTGTTGATGCTGTTTAATGTAATTCGAGTCTTTCAAGGAAGTATTAGTCTCCTTCTTTTGTATTTTCGTGCAAGTGTGTAGTGCTAAGACTATTCCAAATAATCTTTCAAACGACCTTTTAATGTGATTTTAAAAGAATTATCTTGTAACAATAATTTAAGTGAGTGAGTTGGTTCAAATGTGTTAGTTCGTTCACTATTTACGTACTTAAAATGAATGTATATAGTAACCGTAAATTAAGTTTCCTCATCGACCCATATATACGCCCCGCTGCTGGGAACGGGTCTCTTTCTAGGCGAGGGTTTAATCTGGCTCAATGCAGGTTGGAGACTATACATGTTATCCGAGTGTTGTGAGTCTTTTTCGACGTGCAGGTTTCATAACGATATTTGCCTTCACCGAAAAGGTTCTGATAAATTTCAAATTAAATTCCGATAAACTCAGAGCTGTGACCACGTATTCGAACCCACGGCTTTTGCTTGGTAGGCGGTAGGTTAATCTTTATTTAATTAGGCTTGGTAACCGTGGTCGGCTTTTCTTTAAGTTTACGTAAACATACTATTATATACTACTTCTACATTTAAATACAATTGCTACAATTAATGCATAGATAGTAAAAATGTTCACATATCACTTGACCCGTGTCTAAATTTGAAACAAAGACTGTTTTTGATGAAAAAGAGTCTACTCTGAAGGCAAATATGTAACCATTACATGTAAGACCCAATCACCGTCTGCAAACATACCAGCTGAGCTGGTTTCGAAATTAAATGTTTCCGATGTATACCGTTATAGATTAGATTGTTTTTAAAAAATTAACAAATAGTATACTCAATACAGATAGTCAAGGCTGTCTATAAGTGTACATTTACAAAGAGCAACCCCTAGCGTTTCTTGCTCATTATTCTTAGGGGAATCTACATTACAAATGAGCAGAAGAGTTGAATCAACGTGACGATTTTAAGTGAAATTTGCTTACCTATGAAATAAAGATTATTTGAGGTTGAGACCTTTTCAATGAAATAAGATTCTGTCAACGGAAATCTAGGATCTATCTTAAATCATCTTTTTGTATTTTAAACGTATTCCGACAGACGTAGAATATATGTTATGTACTTACATTAAATAAGGCGCCCAAAGTGAAGCTACATAGGGCGCACTACAAGTTTCCGGAACTGGCCACTTACATAAACAACATTTAAAAAGTAATTACGACATTTGAAAATGGAACTCTTTGGCTGTAAAATAGAGTTTGTTTCATCTAACTGTCACTTGTTTTTACATTGTGGCGACATTTTAGAAATTGTTTGTCTACATCTACATCACCATGGATTTAACTCGTGAAAATTTTTGTAGTATGATTTTCTACGACTTTTAGTGTAATTTAACAGCTCAGCGGAGCTTCGCTCGGCTTCAAACTGCTTTTGGCGATGAAGCATCATGCAAGACGACTATTTAAAGGTTGCAGGTTTGCGGAATTCAAACGCGGTTGTGTGAATTTCAGTGACCAATTTCGTAATGGTCGCCCGTCCACTGCTGTGAACAACAAAAACATCGATGTTGTGCGCCGTATGATCAAAACAGACAGGCATGTGATATACCATGAGATTCGGGCATCTTTTGGCATAGGCATGAGTCAAATACAATCAATACTACACAAACATTTGGGTGTGAAAAAGCTGTGCTCTCGGTGGGTCCCAAACAATTTGACTGAGGCTCAAGAAACGGATCGCGTCAGTTGGTGCAATGCCATGCTTACCAGATTCAATGAAGGGGCGTCAAATTTGGTGTGGGACATAGTAACAGGTGACGAAACATTGATTTATAGTTACGGTCCCAAAACAAAACAACAATCGAGCGTATGGGTCTTTCGAGATGAGCCGAAACCAACCAAAGTGGCGCGCGTGCAAAGTGCCTCTAAGCGTATTATTGCTTCTTTTGTTAATAAAACTAGTGTTGCTTTGGAGAATCGTTGTACCGTGAATACACATGGTACACAATCATTTGTTTGCCGGAAGTTATTGACAAACTCCGTAAAAATAACCGTAAACCCCATATCTGGGGTATAATCTTGCACCACGATAATGCCAGTTTTCACACGGCCAGACAGACAAATGAATTTTTGAAAGTGAACAACGTTGACTTTATGAGCCATCCCGCGTACAGTCCCGACCTGGCACCTTGTGATTTTTATTTATTTACAAAAATTAAGAACCAGTTACACGGTCAACGATTTTCATCACCTGAAGAGACTGTCGAAGAGTTTCAGAGATTGCCACGGAGGAGTGTCATACCTATATATTCTCAAAATTGGTTCATTCGCATGGAAAAGTGCGTTAACGCTAACGGAGAATATTTTGAGAAACAATAAATTCATTTCTGGCCATTTATAGTATTTTTTTCTTATTCATTCCGGAAACTTATAGTGCGCCTCACGTACGTCAGAACCTACAACGCTAAATGGGTCCTAACATTATACGTAAGGAGCTACGAAAAACTCACATGTGTTCATCGTCGTACTCGGCCAGCGAGCGGCGCACGTACTCCAAGTTGTTGACGATCGTACATATTTCCTCAGTTGTTTTGTTCTGACCTGTATACAAATACTTTCATGAACCCTATCTTTATATATCGACCTTATTTTAATGTATGTGTACAAGACCCACGAATTTTAACGTGTTACCATTTTAAAATATGCACAAATGAAGACGAAAAACGAGTATGCTATTTTAAATCCGAAATGAAAAAAATAGGTAGGTATCTGATTACGTATTATTTATTATTTTAAACAATCTTCAGTTATCAGTTATCAGCAGTTATCAGTTAAATGACATATGATTTACGAAAAACAAAGCAATAGATTATGGTTGTATGATTACGTTATATGATTTGTGTAAAATCGGTTAAACATTGTTAATATAATGCTGTAATTTGCACCTTACTTTTAATGTTAATGGATACTAAAACTACACAAAACATACCATGATTCTCATAATAGCCCTGATCAGCCAAAGTTCCGTGCAAGAGATCAGCATAGTGCAGAGCAGTGGCACATGCAGCTTCCAGTAGGCGCAGGCTGCCCCCTCCGGTACTTTCCTCCGCACCGCCGATGGCACGCCAAACCAGACGCATGTGGTATAGGCTAATATAACATACACCCTTTGTTTACATCATACAAGCACAGTCAGTTATTTTGTCCTCAAAACACGATGACGTCTCTTGCAAGTTTTCAAATTACACATCGTTCTTTTGCAAGTTGCCACGTATTGTTTTGGTATAATTTAATTAGATGATTATTATAATGATTAAATACAATGATTGACCACAAAGAAAAATCCTTAAAACAACAAAGATAAGTCTTTTTCCTTTCCAAAGTCCTAGAAAAACTTGTTCACCACCAGCTAACTAATTTCCTAAACAAAAACAACCTGTTCAATCCTAACCAATCCGGATTCCGTACTAGTCATAGTACGACTATCGCGTCGGTCTTTTGGTCTAAGGATTAACCCATCAAAAAGACAATGTATAATTGGTAGTCCTTGGTATGTACCTCGTATTGACCTTGAATCTTTACCACCTGTAATTTTCAATGGTGTTCGTATTTAGACACAGTTAGTAACTTGGGGGTATATCGAGTTCTTAGGTTTTCGCGATTGTTACACATATAGGAAATGAAACTATTTTTCCGGATTTAAATTACATTATTTAAATTACATTACTGTTCTATTTTGTCGTTGACGAAATTCTTTTACGTGTTTGTTGTAGATCTTTGTATTGACTTTTCGACTTTCGACGCCGTAAGCGTTTCGACCTTGTAGTTCAGTTGGAAGAGGACGGAATCCCATGGTTCGAGTCCTGTTCGGTCGATAGAATTGTTCTTTGTGTACGATCTTTGTATTTAATAATTATAACAAAGTAGTGGAGTTATTTAACAAAAACAAAAACAAATCAATAATAGATGATTATTTTTGATAAACTCCAATTCAATCGAAAATTACAATTATCAAACTCAATTCTCAGTTATCAGTTTTCAATTGTCGTTGTTGTGGATATTTAGCATTGTTATTTATACGTTGTAATTAGGTAGTAAAAATATTCGACGGCTTGTCCACTGGTTTTCATGGTGTCGCCATCGTCCCATGTTCGAGGTCCCAAGGTCACATGTTCGATCCCCGGCCGTGTCCATGTAGAAAACTAACATATCTATTTTTTTTTTAATGTAAAGAAGAAAGCAAACGACGAGCCACTTGATGGGAGGTGCTCATCGTCGCCCATGGACATTTGCAACATAAAGTGCGTTGCCAGCTTTTGAGAGCCGTGTAAACACGCTTTTTGAAGAAGCCCAAGTCATAGAACAAAGGGAATACTTCAGGAGGAATATCATTCCACATCTTGCAGGTTCGAGGAATGAACGAATGTAATGCCCACCTGGTGTTAATATTAATATACACCTGCATCATAAATTATAAGTGTATGAAACAAATGACACTTCATATCAACGACATACGTCGATGACCTTGCGTCGATGACCTTGAGCGATAACGCGCCTACTATAATTTCTTCCATAAGGTGGCGCCATACGCCCCGATGCGGTAAGAGTGTGGTAATTGGACCTTCCGCTTGATTTAACTTAATATTGATTGCCGTGAACAAATGGCGTTGTACTTAAAATACACACATGCTATCAAACCAAAAAATATCAAAGCATATAAGAACTGGACATGTTATGCAAACAAGAAACAACCGACACCTCGAGTGAAATTGAGTTATGTATTTAGGTAGAACACCAGACGTGTCCTTTACCCGCTCACAAAAGATCCTGGCAACATACCAAGCCAAATCGGAGAAAATAAAAGTCCTTCAGGGTACCAACCCTAAATAAGTAACTTTTTAATAGCTAAAAAGAACCTTGCTGCTTAACTTTATATAACGTCTTTTTAAAAATATGCTAAACGAATCCATGTCACATGTACTGAAGTACTGTAGATCTTTGGTGTTTTCATTACGAAAACTAGAACATGGTTCTCGTTAACTAAATAAAAAGATACATAATGTTTTCTGTTTATTGCTATAACAGTGTGTTAGGGCACGCACTGTACAAACTTTATGGGAGTGTTTAGTATTCAATATTATGTGAAAAACACTAATACATGTGGGGGGCAAAACTCGACTCCCTAGGAATGGCAGCCATTTTGATTTGTTATACTTTACTAGACGTTTGTTCTAAAATGATATTATGAGAAGTAAAAGCAGTACGAACATAAAAAATATTTTTTCGGAAAGCTAAGATTAGCGGCAATTGAATAAAATATCTGTCACGTACATAAAAAAGTGGGGGATTGCCTAAAAAAAATAATAAATGTAAATTTTTACCAAAAAAACTGCCAAAAAAACTAAGTTTTTGTAATTTAATCCTGAAATAACCAAATTAAGGTACTGTTTTTGTGTATGAATTTTAAAGTACTTCAGCTATTCTTAAAAACAAGACCAAAATCATAATCATACGATTCTCTACAATTCTAAAAGTTTTTACTACTCGAACTTAGTATCTTAACAACACAAAAGATCGCTCTCGGTTACAACAATGGCGATGAGTTCAACCATTTATTACCTGGCTCACTCTGCCCAGCTTGCAAGTGTAAAAGGGACAAAAGATAAGCCCCTAAGCACAATCCTGATTGAAAAAAAGTTCTAAGGGTACTTAACGGTTCTTTTCATTCAACAATTAACAGTCAGTTGTTACTCTCTACTCAGACAACACATCCTGACCAAAAGTGCTTTCGGAGTGAAATTTATTGTTGATTCGTCATGAATAATCAGCAGTATTCAAGTGCGCATATTGCAGATATTCATTTCATCTATGGATTTTGCAATGGTAATGCACGGGCAGCAGTTCGTGAATACCGAAGGAGATTCCCAAGTCCGCCTACACCTAATCACTAGACATTTCGTTATATTCATAGGCGATTGGCAGAAAATGGTATTCGTCAACCAGTAGGTGAACGTGCACGTGAAATACCAGTTTATGATGAAGAAACCGTTCTTAATATGATGACAGAGATCCAAGATTAAGCACGAGGCGAATTGCTCTCCGACTTGGTACGTCGCATTGGACAGTGTGGCGTATTTTGAAAAGTGAAGGCTTATATCCTTACCATTTTCGACGCGTGCAGAATATTAGTGATCCGGACTATGCAGCACGTTCAGTTTTTAGTGCGTGGATTAATCAAAAGGCGCCAACAACAACAGCAACAGCGGCAACAGCCAAACTTTTTAAAGAAGATTTTATGGAGCGACGAAGCTTTGTTTACAAGAGCGGGGATAACCAATTATCGTAATTTACATATGTGGATTACCGAAAACCCTCATGCAGTGAGACCATCCTCATTCCAGCATGAGTTTTCTGTCAACGTTTGGGCTGGTATTATTAATAACCAATTAGTTGGACCGGTGGAGTTGCCGGAAAGATTAAATGGCCCAAGATTTTTGGAATTTTTAAGGACAGAGTTTGTGGAATTACTCTCAGAATTGCCAATCGCACGTCTCCGAGGAATATGGTTGCAGCTGGATGGAGCCTCGGTTCATTTCGCCACAGCTGTGAGACAGCACTTGAATGAAAATTATCCACAGTGGATTGGAAGAGGCGGCACTGTTGCGTGGCCTCCGCATAGTCCGGATTTAAATCCATTAGATTTTTTTTGGGGTTGGATGAAACAACAAGTTTATTTTAACCCAGTGAATATGAGAGAGGAGCTATCGGCGCGCATTCGTGAAGCTGCTGAAGAAATTCGTGCAAATCCCGAAATTTTATATCGGGCCACGCAGCAGGTGGGAATTCGGACAACAGCTTGCCTTCTAAATAGGGGGGGACATTTTGAACACCTTTTATATATTTATGTGTTTCTTTTTTTTATAAAATAAACAATCTAATATTTTTTACTGTTTTTTTATTTCAAATTAACTTACTACATCTCAACACAAAACAATTTACTAGAAAGACTGTAAAATTTACTTATTTCGCTCTCGGAGACGTTATGTTGCAGAAGCTGTAACTTTTAGAATTGTGGACATAGGATTATGATTTTTGTCGTGTTTTTAAGAACAGCTGAAATACTTTAAAATTCATACATAAAAACAGTACTTTAATTTGGTTATTTTAGGATTAAATTACAAAAACTTAGTTTTTTTGGCAGATTTTTTGGTAAAAATTTACATTCATTATTTTTATTAGGCAATCCCTCACTTTTTTATGTACATGACAGATATTTTATTCAATTGCCGCTAATCTTAGCTTTCCGAAAAAATATTTTTTATGTTCATACTGCTTTTACTTCTCATAATATGATAATTTTAGAACAAACGTTTAGCAAACTAAGTATAAAAAATCAAAATGGCTGCCATTCCTAGGGAGTTGAGTTTTGACCCCACATGTATATTAGTGTTTTTCACATAATATTGAATACTAAACACCCCCTTATAGTTTGTACAGTGCGTGCCCTAACACACTGTATAATATAATAGTTTCCCTATATCGTTTTCACTGCTACAATACATCGTTTGTCTCAAATAGAGAAACGCCGAGAACAAGTTTTACCGAGTAACCGAGTACCGAATATTACTCGGTTTAACATTTGCCGAGCCGAGTACTCGGCCGAGTTACCGAGATCCTAAAAGCCCCCATTACTCTTGAATTAGGCCGATATGTCAATGAAAGTTTATTGTCACGAGAGCAGAGTCCTTTCCAATGGTGGGCAGAGCATAAAACAAAATATCGAAAACTGGCACAGTAAGCACGAGTGTTTTTATATGCACCTGCAAGCACTGTGTATAGCGAGCGGTTATTTGCCGAAGCGGGTAATGTGTATGAAGAAAAAAGGAACAGACTATTACCTGAACGCGCAGAAAGCCTTGTAAATATTCCTAAATCATAACTTGCCTTTGTTAAATTTTAAATATCAATAATGTAAACTTTCTTTTTAAACTACTAAATTGCTAGAAATAGTTACAATTGTCTACAATTTCTAGTAATAAATCTCTTTTGAATATTTTAAATATATTGTTGATTTTTACTTTATTATGTCTATAGCTGTGATGCTTAATTTTAACCGAGTACTCTACTCATGAACCGAGTCATCCGGCCGAGTACACCGATGATACTAAATAATCAAGGACGCAAACAATAATTTCATTTTTGTTTTGAATACTTTGTGTTTAAGGTTCTAATCCAATCAAAAATATATTTTTTTTATTCTCAGCTAATGCCTAATTTGACTTTTTTTAAATATTTTGTTTTGATTTCAACAAATTGGTCCATTATATTTACTTATTTACGTATTTTTTTGTGCATGACATTTTTTCCACACTGTTAAGTGCCTGTCCATAATTTGCAAGCAAATATTTAGCTCGTACTTTAGTAGGCGAAACCTACATTTTACTCCTAAATTTGTTATTTGTCTTTTATTTAAAACAAATAAAGTGTCAGGATCAAGATAAGTACCATTTAAATAACCACACCAAATTTGGTAGTAAGCAAGTTTGGTTTGCCCGAGAAAAATATGTCAAAAAATAACCACCAGAATCTCACTGTAATCCAGTTTTTGTAATACCTATGACAATATGCAATATTCTAGGATTTTCAAGCTACACTTCAAGACACGTGTTACAGGATGTACTATTTTCAAAGTTCCACGTGCTATGTTATCGCCTAAAAACGTACACAAAAACACCATATTTAAGCGATTTTGGGCACCTCATCGCCTTACCTACGCGTTCTACGAGACACTACCATCCTATTACAGTTCCCTTAGCGAGAACAAAGTATTGACAAAATAGCTACCTTTGTAGCTGAAAAGAGTTTGAATAGTGTGCTGAGCAATCATGTCCCGGATGTAGATATATTCATTTGTAATCTTAATGCGCTAAAGCGTAAATTCACAGACATTTTACTTAATTTTATTGAATAATTGATGACTGTTGACGCAGGTATTGGGTTGTTTTCTTCATGTAAGTACTTGTTGTTAACACAGTCTGTTTATTGTTCGTTTGTATCTGTTTTGTCTGCAACTACGTATATGAGTGGAAACCTGTAATTGACTGTATGTTTTTATTGTTTTGAAGCTGTTAGTTTTAAATAAATAAATAGACGAATTAATACAGTTAATTAAAAGTGAAACATTTTGGATGACAAGAGCTATACGCATAGCATAACAAGTGTTTACTCAGATCTTAATGGTAGTATTATGTTAATTGTAAATAATTACACGTGCTACTCTAAAAATGTATTTATTAACTTCAGCTCAGAGTAGAAGAGTCTAAAGTAAAAAAAGATAACCGTAAAGTTATGAGAAGGATATGTGGTTACAAATAATATTTTGTATATTACATGTAGAGGTAGGTACAGCTGAAATATAGGTACAAGGTACTTACCATGCGGCAGTGTCCACGGAAGAAGTGCTGTGCTTAACTAGATGTTCGCCTTCCACCGGACGATCTACAGCGAAGAAGTGTAACGCATACTTTAAAATAGATACCTATATTTTCAGTTGCGGCAACATTTTGTTTGCTAAGCAAACAAAATTAATAACATATTTTTAGAATTTAAAAAAGAATTCACAAGCTCTTGTCAACTCGTTATTAATTCAAAAAGAGACGTTATTTGACAATCATAATCCAGTTACTTGATAATAAGAATCCTGTCGTCTGAACAAAAGACACTGAAGAAATAAAAATAACTCTTAATTTTTTTATCATTACGACACATTACATTTTTTTTACATTTTTGTGTTTTCAAAAAGCCTTAACTGATTCCGTAGTGAGCGTACAAACAAATTCTTGTTTACAATGTTGAAAATGTAGACATTTGACAATTTATACTGATACATTAACATCAGGAACAATCTATTGTCGGAGCCCAATAAAAGGTTTCGTGTTGCGCCTCAGTTTAGATCCGATGCTTATCTAAACGGGCGCCCTATGCGGGTGTGAACCTTTGCCTTTTGCCCTCTTCACAGTAACGACTTTTCATTTAAATTTAACTTCCATTTCTACGCCATTGCGTGCTTATTCCTTTGAGTGAAAAAAAGTTGTTTTAAGAAGTAAGCTTTTACCTACCCTGTATATTTGCTTCGGAAATAGTGGAACTTGAATTTTGATGGCAGTCGGATTTATTATTTGCCTGATACGTATGCGATAGTCACGCTTTTTTAAGTATTTTTTTTGTTTTTAGCGTTTATTGTATAAATATAAGGCCAGCTGAGATTACGTATTAACTCTACGCCCAGCTGTAGTTTGTTTCCGTGGCGTAGCGTACGTAACGGAAACGTGTGCTACGTGTGCTACGTTCGTAGCTTTATTCTAATTATTATACGAAGAAGACTGTTCATTTCCCAGCTACGAACTTTTCGAGTGTCTACTTATATATTCCTCTCCTATAACTTTAAATAATGTGCCACAATTTATTCGTAATATTAAAAAAGTAAGAGTTCGCGTTGTACGTAACAAAACATTCGCCAAGAATGTTTAATTCAAGGGAACTTTTATCAAAGTGGGCGTGGAATTCTTTTCCGGCCGTTTAAATTCCGTATCTTGGCCGTTGAGAAATTGACATTTTTGTTTTAAGATGCAGTTTAAATAAACGCTTTTTAAGGACTGACCGAGTTCCACGGCAGAGCGCACCCTCTGCAGGGCCATGGTCTTGGTGACGGCGAGCCAGCGATCGATCAGCGGCTCAAACCACCTGCGTACGCACAATTAGCACAATCATAAATTAGACACCTCCCTTTCCCATTCCGCAACCCTACTCCCAGATGGAACTGCTGAACAACAATATTCTTTTGATGTTCTCTGACTAAATTAACTAGTAATATTGTATTTCGAATTGGACCTTGTATTTATTGAATAAAAATACAAAACATATATTTAATCCAGTAATTCCCAATGGCTAAAATAATTAAATGTTATACCGATAGTAAAGGTCATTGTAAACAAAGCATGCAAAGCTGATTGACGGTTAACTACCAAACTAACCTGAGTTAATTGGCTTCTACATAAAAGTTGTTCGTGACCCACCCACCTTCTCGCTCGGAGACCTTGATGAATCCGCTTAACAAAACTTCTCAATACCTACGAAAACATATCGACCCCACCGCGCCTCACACTCCGTTACCCGCCATGAGAGATTCATTTAGTTAACTCTAATTTATCGCACACAATATATTCATTAAAATAAAGGCGTCTTTTATTAGCCGCCGCTAGAAAACACTCCATAATTGAAAGTTTTGGTCCCGCTAGCTGCGAGCAACTTTATTACTTTTACCTGCGTCAACATAACGGTAAACATTTTCTGTTATTTCTCCCTATTTCCAAGCGGAAACTATATTGAGAGCAGGAACATGCGGTACGCGCGTAAGTAGTTGAAGTATAAATTGCTATAAGGATTGTTTATGTGACCTGCTGCATAACAAAACAAATCAAGTTATTTTTGAAAAAAATAAAAACTGGAAAAGATATACATGTTTTCTTGAGTATCTACTCTATAATACAGAGAAGAGAGAAAGTCGGTTTGGATTAATAAATTAGAATCATATTAATGATATTTACTCAAACTGAAATCAGTACAAATAAAATTAGATAAGTATACATACAAGTAAGCCTCAAGAAGTTGTGGTAGTGGTTCATGCGATTGATGAGGCGGTGGCGCCGGCGCAGCCGCAGCCACCAGTTCGCGCACAGTCGCCAACACCTCGAATGGAAGCGTCTTTGCCGACACTACGCATACTATGTACAGAAAATCGCAAGTATGTGACCATTTCCTGTGGAAGTAACTGTAATAATAAATATCGACATATTATTTTGATGCCTATCAACGAACTGGCAGATATTAGACAAAATAAAGTAATTACGCAAGTTAGGAATTATGATCTCTTTTGCGTTGTTTGAAAGCGGATAACGGTAAATATGAAGAAAAAAGAATCTATACCTTACACAGAATATATGAAACATAATTGTCTTTGTCGTAACTTTATACAAAAAAAATTACCTGAACTAGACAGTGTTATCTGCTTAATATATTGCATTGTACATTTACGCAAACGAAACACTAGGATTAAAACATATTGTGCATACAATTGTCCCATACCTACAAAGGGCTGAGGCGATTCACCTCACGGAGTTTACACGAGATTGGGGATATCATTTAATTAAATAGAAGCCGGCTTTGTTGTAACTTATATATGACAATATTAATAGCTGATGTTTGCTTCGTTCGTTATCTTCTATAATTTAGATTGTCATATGATTGATGATGACAAATACTGACGTAAAGGTTACTTTAAAAATACATATCTAACAGTAATTGTTGAAAGCTTGAATGTAATTTTATAAGACAATGGCATTAATTACTACATATTTTAGTGCATTATAAATCGATACTTAGTCGTCAGTTGTTGTAAGTCAATATGCCATTTTTTTTCTTTTTGACTTAAATATTATATCCGTTTTTTATGTATATTATGGGTTCCATATATAATAGTAACGAACTCACTTACTGTTTTGTTTACTTTCAAACATGGAACCTACAATATACAATATATTTAACTTAAAAACCAAAAATGAGAGGTATCGAAATTATATTTGAACGGTACTACTAATTAACAACTCACTTGCATTTCCTAGGTCGTCGTAGATCTCTTCCTCGGCGACTCCGCACCAACCTTCAGATACCCAATGGTCCACACACTGCCGCACGTCTTCGGACACCTGTACAAATTTTACTTACGTCGGTTATTATTATTTTATAAACACAAAGAGAGTACAAATACAAAGAAAAGTTAGTTCGATCCGATTGGACTTGAATCAGTTTCTGTTGTTTCACCGTGACTACCGCTCTTACCAACTAAGCTACAAATCGAATCAGAAGATCTTACGAATCTCTACGTCTACCTGCACCAGAGTCCAGTCTGATCGAAGATCAATCGATCTTTGTATCAATATCAAGTATCCATATCAATTGCTGTGAGTATGGTGCTTTCTTAATGAAATATATTTAATTAGAAACTGTGGTGTGCACAGCGACGAATATACTTCACTTGTAGTTGTAGTCATACAAGGTGAAGCCTGAAAACCAGCAAACTGCTGAGGCTGTTACTTTTTCTTCAACACAGACAAATATTACAAGCGACTATTTTAAGTTTTTTATGTATAGTTGTAGTGTTGAAGAATGAAGTCTTTTTAATAATAATAACAAACTAGTGAAGTATTTTTACAAATAAATATGTGAATATAATACTTGGTTTGTGATAATAACGGTGATAAAAATATTAAAATAATAAATAATAATGTAATTTAGATCTAATCAAATTACCCCAATAATACAAGTTCATACTCTTGATTCATTATTGAGGACATGCAATTATCATATATTATAAATGTGCTGCACACTTTATCGACAATGCGACAAGTCCTTTTCGAAATCCCCGAGAAATAAATCCCAAAATCTTTATTGGAGATGCGCCTCTACTTAGGATGGCTTTAAACTAGCGTACATACATAATACATTAACATTAATACCTTAATGTACCTTAATACCTTATAACTTAATATACCTTAATAACATTAATAACATTAATACCTTATGACATTATATGAAAGAAGTCGTCACACTTAACAAAGTTGAAGTCGAGAAAAAGCAAAGTTAAAATATATGTCATATTTTTATTAGGGGCTCGCAACTGTTACTACGGCATATCTCCCAATGTCTATGTCAAATACTATGACATACGTCGGTATGTATTTAGACAATTTGTCGTAATAGATTGCATGAAGAAGGTTTAGATTTCCCAAAATAATTTAAGATTTCTTTAATTCTGATTATAACGCCAGTTATAATCAGATACAATTGATATATTTGTTTCGCGTAGGTTACTTCAATTATTTTCTTGAAGTCATTACTTTGCATGAACTATGCGTAGGTAGGTGGTTGGCAGGAAAAAAAAGTTTGTAGAAAAAATAAAAATGTTAATTCTTATGAATTAACAATTCATTATTTATTCCTTTTAACGTTTCGGAATAATTAACACTAATTGAAAATCTAATTTGAAAATCCTCGTTTCGCAAACATTTATTATGATTTTCTTTTAGTATCTGGGTCGTATTTTGACCTAATTAATACGAGTAAGTATTATCGCAACATCGGTATCATTGCGTTTCGAGTCCTGCAATAATCGCCTTAATTACAATGCATAGCGATACGCAATAATAACATTCGAGGGAAATTTGATAAATACCAGCTCGCCCTGTTTGGATCTTCAAACGCTTCATTAATAATAATAATAATAGAAATAGATAAATAGATAAATACTAATAATAATAACGAACACGATCAACATAGCCCCGCACTAGCGAAACCTTGTGTCGCGGGTGCCATGGACATAAACAAATTACGCCCAAACTCACGAGAGAAATAAATCGCACCCCTCATGAAAGAATGGCATAAGTGGAGTTACGTCAAACACGTTTATTGCTCCATTAGATACATAAAAATATAACCCACATCCTCTCCAATTCTTGTAACTCTATCTACAATATTAGTCGCTAGAAGAGCAATAAACATCTTTGACGTAACTCTACTTCCATGCCATTCTTCCATGAAGGGTGCGAAATGTAGGCCATACAAATATTTCTACCGGCCCGGGAATCGAACCTGGGACCTCTGCGTGGCAGTCCAGCATGGTAATCGTTCGGCCACGGAGGCAGTTTAATAACTGTTTAATAACTACGTAATCGTAGGCAAAATTACAATAACATGAATACCTATATTTTATATTATGTTCTAGACATCAAAAATTCAACAGTTGTCAAAATTTGCACGAAATATTTTGCTACTTACCACGTATTTTAATCAAAATACTTACCATCTTGTCTATTTGTGTGAACACAACGTTGAAGTAAGGAACGTTGTTGGTTCTGTAAAGTATTAAACTGTTTATTGATAATAAAATACCACAACGACTCTGCATTAATATTGGATACACGAAGCGAAATTCCAATTTGATTTTGTACTTATGTGCACGTTTAATGTATTATCTGTCACTAAGATATCTTTTGTGCAAAACAGTATAAGTTGTTTTGATATTTTTTTATGTACAAATATTTTGTTATAAAGAATATACATAGTCCCTATAAATATCAATTTCAGACTTCACTATGTGTATTTGTATTAATGCATGATAATTTGGCTTAGAATATGTATAATAAAGCTACATGTAATTATATGTTAAAAGTGCTTATCTCAAGTCAGTCATAAAAATAATACGAACTTTAAGAAACAAATTATGTAATATGTGAAATTTGCATCCGTTAATAAAATCTACGCATAAAAAAGTTACCGATTAATTTCGTTCGTATAATCTTTAAACTTTTCTCCTGAAAAGTTGTAATTTTACAGACGTGGCCTTATTACACGAAGGGTGCGATTTGTTGATGGTTATATTTAACGACACTTAAGGGTTGCCGCACATTGCCAAATGCAACATAAACTTTATTCTCTTGAAGATAAGGCAACATTTCAAAAGGAAGCTGCAGCAAGCGGCACGGCGGCGGGCTGCGGCTGGTGCATTTTATAAAATGCAATAAACTTTAGAATATATTGTCTACTGAATAAAGTATACATTTCTTCTCGCAAAAGAGTAAACCGCGCTGCGCCGCGCTGCACCGCGGCTTACTTACACGGTGCAGCAGCACGCCGCAGCCTTACCCCGCCCGCGTGTCGTTAGACCCAATTACATTAAAATATGAACAACCTTAAGCTAAACTATTAATATCTTTAAATGGCTTTACAATAGACAAAGTAGTTTTCGAGTTATTAAGACACAAATATTTTATGGCATCGGTAATTACAAATTGTTATTTTACATGACTGCGGTAATTAGAAAGTTAGAAAGAACATTTTTAAGAAAACATAAAAATTAAAATTAAAAATAACAAGTAACGTCATTTACATAAGTTTCATTTCGATTTTCTACTCTTTCTGCATTAATTACACTGAAACGAAATCCTTTTTTGCTGTTTTTTTTAACTTTAAAGGTTTTTTTATTTATTTATTTAATAGTTTATTGTACAGGAAAAATACAACAAGTCACAAAGAATACAAGCGAAATTAAAAACAAAAGGTTCTGCTTATTTCTAATAGAAATTTCTTCCTGCAGACCTAAATACAGGACACTATAACTAAAAGAACGGGCATATGTGCACAACAAAACAAGAAAAAAAAAATTATAATATAAAAATAATATAAAAATATTAAATTGTTTTAAATTATATAAATACTTAGATAAATACATATTTTATAATATAATACCTAAGATATGGATGAAATAGTAGATAAATAATGCTCTTTAACTCTCACTTTAAACATAGCTAACGATTTACTTTCGTGAACAGTAATAGGAAGTGCATTCCAAAGTCTGACCGCATGAACAGTGAAGGAGTGAGAATAGAAACCGGAATTGAAGCATGGAAAAGATAACTGGGACCTAACAAGAGAGTGACAGGGTTTATCCTGGGGCCTAAGGAAGCTGAAACGCTCTTTCAGGTACCCGGGAGACACAGGGTTATGTAAAATATTGTAAAGAATGGAGACAATATGCAAATTCCTGCGGAGACGGATGGGAAGCCATTTGAGCTGACTGCGGAAATGTGAAATTCGGTCAAATTTACGAAGCCCAAAGATGAACCTTATACATAGGTTTTGCAGTCGTTCAAGCTTATTTAGCTTATTCAGTAGCATCCAAATAGCAGGAATCAGCATAGTCTAAGAAGGGCAAAATAAGTGTTTGGACTAAACATATTTTGGTTTTTAAAGGTAAATCGTTTTGGAGGCGCTTAAGTGAGTGCAAGGAGAAATGGACTTTACGACTGACTTCATTAATATGTGGAGTCCAAACCAAATTACAATCTAAAAGCAAGCCAAGATTAGTTGCAGTTGAAGCATAAGCAATAGGCGTGGAATTATACGCTATAGGTGGGACAGAATCTAGATGCAATATGCCACGCATATACCCACTTCCCACAATCATAGCCTGTGACTTTTTGGGATTCACCAACAAACCAAAACACTCAGCCCAATGAGCGATGCAACGTAAATCAGCATTAACCGCTTCAAAGCTGCAAATCGTCAGCATAGAGATGAAAGTTTGAAGACAGCACAAAAGTGACAGAAATGATGAAAACAGAGAAAAGGAGAGGGGAAAGAACACCACCCTGAGGAACGCCAGCAACTAAGTCACACCAATCAGAGGAAGCCTCGTCAGAGCGAATACACTGCGAGCGGCCTCTGAGGTAGGAGTCGAACCAAGCTATAACCGAAGGAGAAATATTAAAAGAGCGAAGGGAAGCAAGCAATACGTCAAAGTCCACAGAGTTGAAAGCACTGCTGAAGTCCAGAAGTATAAGCAAAGTGAGAACACCATTGTCCATTGCGAGGCGAATATCATCTGTTACCTTCAACAGTGCAGTCACAGTGCTATGGCCAGAACGAAAACCTGACTGAAACGGGGAAAGCAACTTATTAGAAGAAAGATACAACATTAACTGCTTGTTGACAATGTGTTCGAGGACTTTGGATAGAAATGGGAGAATGGGATGGGACGGAATTCGGAAAGGTAAGTAGGGTTAGACGTTTTGGGTAAAGGTATAACATGGGCGAGTTTCCAATGAGAAGGGAAAGAACTAGCTTCTAAAGAGAAGTTAAAAACATGAGTGAGGATAGGGACAAGTTCAGGGAGTATGAGGCTAATCATACGGGATCTGAGATCATCATTGCCAACAGCAGTAGAAGAAATAGAGAGAATATGGGTTTTGACCTCACATTCGGCAACAGTCCGGAAGGAGAAAGAGGTACATGCCGGTAAAGTATAGTCAGCCAAGATGCGAAGGGTAGCGCTTTTACGATGCTTATCTAAAGTAACAGGGGGTAGGGAAAAATGTCTATTAAGCGCGTTAAGATCAGGAAGGGACGAATCACCAGAAGCAGTGGATCGACCAATCCCAATGGACTTTAGGAATTTCCAGATCTGAGTGGAATCGCATTTCTCAACGTTATCGTGAATGTGCCGTCTCTTAGCATCTCTACACAAGCGACTACAGCGATTACGCAGGTATTTAAAACGAGCTAGGATGTCATCTGTAGGAAGCCTCTTCCAGCGTCGTTTCGCCTTATCTCTGAGAGCCATAGCGATCTTAATATCTTGTGATAACCAGGGTGCAGGTGCACGTCTGATTTTAACCCGTTTTAAAGGCGCATGACGATCATAAAGCCTTAATATATTTTCATTGAGCAAAGCTACCTTCTGATCAATAACTACGCAGTCCAACACAGGAGTCCAGTCAATATTACCCGCCTCACTCTTGAGCGCCTCCAAATCCAATCCAAAGCCTTGAAATTTCGGAGAATACGAAATTTCGACTTACACTAAGGAAAACGAATTTTATACGAGAAAAGACAAGGTCATGATAAGAAAATACAGAAGAGAACTGTCCATGGGAAGCACAATGCTCAGGGGACGAGACTATCATAAGATCAAGAAGAGATGGAGTGCAGTTGGGAAAATGATGAGTAGCAGACAAAGGTAAAATATGCAAGTTGACAGAAGAAATTAGAGGAAGTAATTTATGGGCACGAGTGTCATTTTTTAGTAAACACGTGTTAAAGTCACCCATTAAAATAGTGTGATCAAAGGAAGGAGAATGGTCGGAGAGTAGACACTCAAGGGACTGAAAGTAGTCGATATTAAGGGAGGGGCTATAAAAAACTGCAAGGAGCACTTTCTTGTGATGCAAGGAAATGTTTAAAAAAAGGTGCTCCGCGGAGTTAGAATACAAGTTAGGAGAAGCATCAACAACAACATGTTGAATATCAGCTCGCAGATATACGCCACCCCTCCACCACTTTTTCCCGTCCGGTCATTCCGAACGAGCTTAAATCCGGGAAGACTGAAATGAGTAGAAGGAAGAGAAGGCTTTAGAAAAGTTTCTGATATAAGAATAGCGTCAACAGGAGAATCTATGAAAGAAGCAAGGAGGTCAGAATAGTGAGAGGGGACGCTTTGAGCATTGATATGAACAACATTGAAATTTTTGGGGAAATTGCAGAAGGCTGAAGATAACTGATCATGCAGAGTCAAAGCGATGGAATCATTACTGTCATCAGCACTAAGAAAATGGCTTGGAGATGAGGAGCACGAGTAAAAACTATCATTTATCCCTAAAGTAACATCCATATTAATTAACACAAAAATAAAATATAATATTAAATTTAATAAATATATGAGTAATAATACATAAAAATATAGTATATAAAAAAAACCAACGTACGTTTTTTTTTTCGTTCAACGTTTTTTTGTTATTAATTATTAAAAAACCCACTCTAAATTAATTTAAAAAATCTGAAATGGCACTTGTATCGGCAGAAATACTCGTTAACCAAGTGTAGCATAATTTTTTCGCGATTCTATTCCAGGACGGCCCTGCCGTCTTTTTGATGCCGTCCAACCATCTCGTTGGTGGTCTGCCCACATTTCGTCTTCCTAAACGAGGTTTCCAGAACAAAACTCTCCGGCTCGAGCCCATTGCCATTTCTGTTTGATAACTCGTACGCCCATATCGATGACTTTGGTGCGTCATTCCATATCTTATCGCGTAGAGAGACTCCGATCATAATTCGTTCCATAGCTCTCTGGGTGACCGTGAAGCGATGAATCAACCCCGCAGTCAGAGTCCATGTCTCGCAAGCGTAGGCCATAACTGGTAAGACGTGCTGGTTGTATACTCTGGTTTTGAGACATTGTGGGATTTTTGCCTAGCACACATGGTCTAATTTGCCGAAGGCTGCCCAAGCGAGTTGTTGAGCCCAACGAGTTTGATTTTATGACCGAGGTAGACGTAATCGACGGAATCTCTTGTATGGTGCCATTCAATTCTACATTCAATTCAGTTGTTGATATTTTTTCTTGTAACTTTTATAATATCATGCTTTGAATGAAATTGATTGTTTTGCTTTCGAAATTTTTTATGATTTTAAACTTAACTGTCATTTCCTAAACTGGTAACATCTACATTTCGTTACTCATATCTCTCTGTTTTTCTTCTCTTTCGATCGCTGATATAAAATCGGGTTATTTTTTAAACGTTATCACCGCTGATGTGCCACTAGTCTCTTTTTTTCTAACATTCTCTCCATATTTTTTTATTTTCCCAAAAATGTTGTTAATTAGTTTTATTATAAGGTCTAATTATTTAGAAGTCTGGTTTGCATCATAAAATGTTTGGATATGCTTTATACTGTCACGAAATAGTATGTAATATTTAAATTCTTCAATATTTTCATACTACGGTAATTAGAAAACTAACAGTAATTTATACTATGGTACTTAGAACACGGATCATTTTCTTAAAAATTGCAAAAACTGGAAGTGATGGGAAATATTCGAATATCGTAATACATAAAGGCCTCTTAGCTCTTTTACTTACTTCAATAAGCGACAACACATTTCCTTGAAAAATGTAATTTACACTTAGGGGAATGGAAATTAGGAAATTTTGAAACAAAAGTTACGGTCATTAGAAATTTATGTACTCTCTCTCTACACTCAGGATCTTGAATGGTACTAGCCTACTCTATCCCGGACTAAAACGAGAAGTAATTTGCAGATAAAGGTAGCGTCTGGACAGGCTACGGTAATTGGAGAACAAAGCTTTGAAAAATTTGTGGCTTTGAAAATAAGTGTGATAATTAAGTCTGCTACTTATTATATATATAATATAATTAAGTAGCAGAGCTAAGCCCTTAAAATACCTTTAGATAAAAGTACAAACTATAATATAAAAAAAATATTTGCGGTTCTGTTTAATGTTTTACAGAGACACATGTTCTACAAACATGCAAAATTTGCTATTTTGATAATGGCCGATACTATCTACTAAAGAATAAAATTAAACTAAAGTATAATTTTTTTTCAAAGTGAAGAAATCTTCGTCGCGGCGCAGCTTTTACTTTGCACTCAAACAAATACCGATTTTATTTAGTAGAAAGAAATTGTATATTATATTGCATCTACTACGCACCGCAGTCTGTCGTTCAAATAAATACAACTTATTGTTGAGAAACTAAGTTACACTTGTGTTGCCCGATGCGGGACAAATGGGCGGGGTCAGGCTGCGACGAGCTGCACAGCGCGGCTTTACTCTTTTATTAGAAGAAATATGTACTTTATTCAATAGTTAGTAAGTTCTAAAGTGCGCCCGCCGCATCCCGGCGCCGCCGCTTCCTGCAACTTCGATTTCATTTTTTGTTTAATGAAATGTTGCTCGTTTTAATGCAGCACCGCGCCGCGTCATATCTCGCACCCCGAAAGCGGCAATATCAGGCAACCCTTACAAATCAATATTTACAAATGATACCTAAATATTCTTCGAATGTTCGAATTTAAAATGCAAGTACTGTAATGTAATGCGTCAATATTTACAATTCCAAATTCACTAGAATTCATCAACTCACCTACATATTCGTCACCTACATACTAAAATGAACGTTTATGTTATAACTAATCGAAGCTCAAAGGATATGTCTCTTGGGGCCTAAGGACAGAACAATACTCTACTTCGACGTTTGTAAATAAAGGCCTCAAGCAATTCGACTTCCTGTAAGTTGATAATGGAATTTCTAAGAACCTATGCGTCCAATTGAAAAGGAAATCCTTTGGCAAAAGTTTTCAATGCTCACAATAGGCTAGTCTCGTAAGAGGAAATTAACAATGCCTGTAAAACAATATTTTATCGTTACGAATTGAAAAGGTAATATTGACCTCACTTAAATCTATTAAAATAAAAATAAAAATTAAAAATTAAAATGTCTATTAATTTGTGTAACAGAATCCAAATAATTTTAAATTAAGAATGCTACAATTTGCCAACTTACGTCTCAAAAAGTGGATGATAGTAAGTGAGGCCCTGTTGCAAATCGATCTGAACCAGTGTAATTAGGTTCACCAGGTCTTCTCCACGTTCTGACTCCGTGTCTTGAGCACATAGGGCTTCGTACCATTCCGCTGTGCCTTTGCGCAATGCTCCCACGATTTCAGACCTAGCCGTACATATACGCCGTATAAGAGAAAAGTGCATCACAATATAAATTTAAACAGGAGCCCGGGACATATTATTTTATTTACAAAGACCAATTATAGATATAGAAATTACAGATAAGTTTTTAGCATTTATGTTATGATACCAAGTGAAGGGACAAACAAGCCGTGTGTCTGGTGGTAAGCGACACGCCTATCCATAACAGTTGCAGTGCCACTCGAAGGCAGGCGCCTCAAGACGAAATGCAGTGCTGCTCAGAACTTTAAAACGCGAAAAATCTGAGGGGCACTGCTACTGCGCCCTTCAACCTGAGACATAAATTGAAAAGAAATTTAAAATATGTGCCTGTAATTTCACCAGCACCCTTACCCTTCAAAACTGGAACGCAGTAATGCGAGCATTACTGCTTGGCGGCAGAAAGAGGTAAGGTGTAACTACTTATTTATTTATTTATTTATTTATTAGATTTGCCAACAGAAATACACTATTGTACATGAACAAACAATAACATTACATAAAATACTCGAGTGTAAACCCAATAATAGGCAAATACAGCATGCACATATCAGAGGCTCGTGTCAAAAGCATTTTTTTGTATGTTACATTACAGACAAATAGATGGATAAAACAAAACCAATAAGTAAACATGCTAAATTAAACTGTCAAGTTATGGTACTTTTAGTCTGACCATTTATACAATAAAGTTTTATATTTATTTAATGACAACGAAAACAAATCTAAGTCAGTTAATCTATGTTTACATGTTTTATGAGAATTATTGTACTCTCGGCAAACTCGGTTCAAAATAGCATTGACATTTCCCTGGATTAACTCTTTCTGAAGGAGCTCTACTGCTACTACGAAGTAGTAGAATATAAAAATAAATGTGTGACCATTGTGTGACACTAAAATTAATTAACAAACGGTTGTGAGTAAATTATGAGAAAAAGCATATAACCCTAACAGTTATCTAGTAATCTCACACCGTAAGAAGGTTTAAACGTACTATTGGCTCATACTCGTATATTATATGTTCCGTATTACTATTATTATATAAAATTACTCACTCCTGTAGAATCGGTTTTATTGTACGATACTTGTATACGTAACGTGCAGAAACATCGATTCATGAATATTGGAAAACCGGTATCCAATATGCTATGCACATACTGTATACGTGATAAGGCTGTCAGTGGATAGCCTGAATCTCAATAGTATTTAAATTTGACGAGTAACTACCTGTTTAATCCTATTTAACACAGCTGGTTACTTACCCGTAATTTGAATTTAATTGTAAGCTCTACAAATATGAAAATAATTGTCTCAAATGTTTTATTTCTTTTTTTGCCCTGAAGAACCTAAAAATTCAGTTACATAGGGTTTGAAAATATGTAATCGACAAACTTACATCAAAGTTCAATTATTTGTATTATCATTAATTTCGAATTCCGTATGCGTTAACAATATTGGCACAGTTATATTTTGATTGAATATTAAATAAAGATCTATTGGTAATGTTCTTAATATAGCCGGATCGGCTGTGTTGACATTTACCTTGAAAACAAACTATGAAACTGGGCACGGCACTGTTTTAATGTATCCAATAATGTAAGTATCCATTGGAAAATAAATTGATCAACGTGTCGTTGGAAATAGTACTCGAGTCACAGATTATATTTAAATATACAATTCAAAAAGAGTAATCCTATTTAGAATAAAATTATATAATTATATAGACTTTGAATGTATTAGTTTATTTCGATACCTTCCCCTTGTAAAGAAAACAAAAATTGGTTTTACAATCGATCTAATTAATGAAACTTCTCCTTTTAATATTATTGATTTCTATAATACAGCATAACAGCCTTTCTATTAATTGTATACACTGGTATAAATCCACATTAACAAAACGACATTTAAATGAAATTCCCGATGAAGTCCTCTAACAAACACTTGAATCTGAGAAACGTTTGAATGAAATTTATAAAGGCAAAGCATTTTGCCTAAGTGCAGAAATTTAAATATATTTGTAATAACCTTAGCTTTACAAAGGAATATTTAAAGTATACGTTACTGATACAAAGGTAAAATTGAATTTGTTTTGTATGACGATCTTTTAATTTTATTTAATACGAACAAATGAAAAACAATGTAAAGATTTTACTTTAGTCTTAAAAACACAATGTCGTTTAACTCACCTAATTTCCTTGTTAAACGGGCAGCACCTCCAAAAGGCTTTCATCTGTGACAGCTGACTTAGGCATCGCAACAAAAACTCCAATCTGCAAATGGAAAATTATTTGTTTGTTCTAGCGACAAAATTTTATCTCACAACCACAGGGTGTGGACAAAATTCATTTGTCTTTGTCCGTCATGGTTATGAACTCCTCGGCACGAAATTTGGACAGGCGACTGATGTTACCTACCCACTTTTATTACATCCAGCAGCGTCCTTAATTCCTAAGGAAAATTACAAAACATCTTCACATTTTCTCATCACTTCGGCTGTCTAAGCAGAAGACGTATAGCCGTCGGCCTTTTATCTTTCTATATTCCTGAAGAGAAAACTTCGTGTTCTAACAGATATAGTAATCTCTATAATTCGGAATACCAAATACAAATAATGACCAGGTCTTTTTACATTTCATTTACACAACCAATAATGTTTGCCTTTGAATCTTAACCACAGTGATAAATATGAAGTAACAATTATTTAATTTAAGTTAAAGTCTACTTGAGTTTTAAAGTGCTACGTTCGATAAAAATCGTTACAGAAATTACTACATATCGTAGGTAATAATTCTATTATTTCTGCTTTCTAAATTATGTGTTAGGGATATTCTAACTTGTTCAAGCTAAGATGGTGAAGCACTGGATACAAATCCCTGTGGAGTCGCAGTTGGTGCAAAGCTCGCTCCACATACTCGCCGAAGCAGTCAGCCAGCCAGCGCTCTTCATCTCTCGACGCTCCACCGCACGCGTCTCCGCTGCCGCTTGTAATCTCACTTGTACACCACGCCTTTTCTAACTCTGTCAGCAGCTTGTACATGTATCTAAGGAAGATATTATACAAAACAGTAAAATTAATTGTAATGAAATAGGGGCGAATTTATATTATGCTACTTACTACGTTTTGTTGCTATAGGTACTCACTTAGGGTCAAGCGGAGCATCGCTATTTAGTCTGCAAGCAGCGGCAAAACGAGCTATTGCTGCCTGTAGCGCGCTCATGTCGCTCTGTACAGCGTGCTGGTGTAACAGCGTCTGTGCAGCTCCACAAAGTTCGGTTTCCCAAGCCGCTGTGCAGCTTTCTCCTTCCGCTTCACTCGCTGAATTATTCGCAGTCTCCACTTCATGTGCCAAAAGCACGCCGAACAGTCGCTCATGTTGACGCACCTTCGACAAAAGTCAATTTTCATTTAAAATCTAATTTAGCTTGATTCCGAGATCGAATTGAAAAAGGCTTTTTAAAAAAAGTATAGGTATCGCGCTTTTATCTCAATCCTTTATAACCAGTTCTCATCGTGTTTAAAATCATTGTCTTCTCCCTCTTCAAGAGAAGAGACTTTACGAGCAATGTCTGTCTGTAAATTCTGAATAATTAAACTAGGATGCGAAAACTTGTAGAGCGAAAAAAGCCAGTATTAATAGATACACATGGTACGGGCAACGACGAATTGGATTTATTGTGTCGGTACTTAATCGTAATTTCGCTTCATTCGCTGACTCACTTGATTACGCAGGGCTAAAAGAGAAATTCACTCAGTGAATACGTTATCGCGGCACTGAAAATGTATCTATTGATACGCCTGTCAGTTTGTTAAACAAAGCGTATTTATTTATACTTGTCTCATTTATTTATGGTATTGAAAAAAAAATTACTGCTAGAGAATAAAACAAAGTTTACGTAGGTGTTAGCGTTTGCGTCACATTTCAATAATATTAAACAACGTAATCACGAGTACACGTGCTTGTAATTGATTGTTATTACAGTACACAAGCCTTAGTAATAGTACCCCTTCCTTGTTATCTCAAGTGCTCGTGAGGCATGTTACATAGCTACAATGCTCGATACCCGTGCCGGATCCAGCGAAGCGACACAACTGAATATTATGTTCGCGTATTATTCTCGGTTCGCATCTCACCGTTCATATTTAGTTATTTATTTTACTTCCTTTATTTATATTATAATGCAGTTTGCAATGAGTTTGGAAACTAGAATTATTTAATAACCACCTCAGACTGCATGAGCATTTTTTGTACAGCGTGATTCTTAAAAAAGTCGAAACCTTTCAGTACTGCGACATTCCAATCAATAAAACAACAAATTTATTCTACGACTGTCAACAATCAAGACTATGCGTGTTACGACGTGATGAACATTTAACCTGTGTTAAAATAACTAGAGATGCGCCGAGTACTCGTTTTTTACTCGGTACTCGGTGTACTCAGCCGTTTTTTTACTACTCGTACTCGGCCGAATAAGTCGGTTCATGAGAAGAGTACCCGGTTAAAATAAAGCATTGCAGCTATAGACATAACAAAATAAAACCGACAATATATTTAAAATAATCAAAAGAGATTTATTATTACAAATTCTAGACAATTGTAACAATTTGTAGCAATTTAGAAATTTAAAAAGAAAGTTTATATTATTAATATTTAAAATTTAACAAAGGCAAGTTATGATGTAGGAATACGAGGCTTTCTGCGCGTCCAGGTAATAGTCTGCTCCTTTTTTCTTCATATACATTACCCGCTTCGGAAAATAACCGCTCGCTATACACAATGCTTGAAGGTACACAAATAATATAAGGTGGCCGCATTAACCTGACGTTTTAGGTATGTGTGTTATGTGGATACATAACGCAGAACTGGATACACACATAAAAACACTCGTGCTAACTGTGCCAGTTTTGGATATCTTGTTTTATGCCCTGCCCACCATTTGAAAGGACTCTGCTCTTGCGACAATATACTTTCATTGACTTACGGTCTAATTCTAGAGCAATGGGACTTTTAGGATCATCGCATTCCTGTTGTAATGAACCGAGTAACTCGGCCGAGTACTCGGCACGGCAAATGTTAAACCGAGCAATATGCGGTACTCGGTTACTCGGTAAAACTTGTACTCGGCGCATCTGTAATAATAACGAAACATAACAATATTCTTCTGTACACAATATTGTAATAAATAAAATGGTTTTATGACCCGAGATTATTTAAAAACGTACACTTAAAACGGACAATTATAAGAAATCGAATTTATAGTTAGCTAAATTTGGGAAAAGGGCGTGAAGTACAGATATGTTTTGTATGCATATAAAATTATCAAATGGAGTTGTCGATACAAAAAAATGCCACCATACAATTCTATATGCGTATAAGTATATAAATATGTGTGGTACGTAATATGGTTTGCACAAAGGACTAATGGTTCACTACAAAAAGCCAATAAAACGTTTTATGTGCAATGCAATGGCCCAGCAGATTAACAATATCGGCTTTGCCCGTAATCAATCTGTATGATATCATGCTAGGTTTATGCTGTATATAGCACGATGAGCTTTTATCTACTCATTACATACGTATATTAAACTAGACACTTTTACGGTTGTAGGACCGTAAACATGATAAGTTTGCGAGCGTAACTCATATTCTAAGTCAGTTTTTCCTCAAAGTAAATTGCATTTGAAACCATCAAATTCGTTTAAGTCGCGTATTTTGCGTACCCATCTACACGCTAAAATCCGGAAAATTTAAATGTCATTATGTAGTTGCTTTCTTCATTATGTTTAATCTGGGAACTTTCTTTTTTTGTGTTTGTTTGAAACTTGTACTTTATACCGTTATCAACAGTCAGTTTTACGTTTTTGATAATGGAGGTAATCGTTTGTGAAAATAAAACACTGAATATGGAATAATAATGTACCACATGAAAGTAGTATTAGAGCTCAGAAATAAATGACCGGTACAGTTAGATGGAAAAGTGCCTTGGTTTCGGGTTTGTCACGTTTCGCGCGGACTTTATATTTGTGTGTATACCTAACTTTGTAATAATATTCTTATATACGAGTATTATTCATCCAGGTACAGAGCAAAAAATTAGAGTTAAAAAGTTCGATTTTTGTAAATTTGCAGGACACGTTACGAGACGGTAGATTCGTATGTACTACTAACGTGAATTAGTTGTGTAACACCGTAACAACATCATACATTAGTCACAGTAAAATTAGTTGGTATGATCTTATCATGCCATTACGGTAAAGTTCAGGCGATGTTATGGCTTGTGTCCAAACTAGTGTAGATTGCATAAACCTGTTGATATTAGTGTGTACAATGTAACGACCTCGAAATTAAATATATACGAGTATGTTATCTGATATTACAACACTATTATGTCATGACTGGTAGATCATAAAAATGGTCTTTAAGAAATTGTGTTATGTGTCGTGTGGGTCGCATAATAGATCAATAGGTATATTCCCTTTTCATGGTAAATTGGTCGTGTCTAGAGTGGTGTTGGGTTATGGTAAAATTTCCATGTTGAAAAAAATCATATTTTGTTTATACAATTTTATTTTATAATTCATGCTAAATAAAACATTAATAGATACCTCTAAATGTAGAGCATAATATGAAAATCTATGTGACATAATTTGAGTCTTCGAATTAATGTTTCAGATTTATTTCCAGAAAAGATTGCACTATTTGAAATTGTTCCGAAAATTACCCAACGCTAGTCTAGAGTGATATTTACATCGTAGTCACCTTGAATGTGTTGAACAGAAATCGATATTAGACATTTATTTACATTTTTTTTAATTGAAACTGTAATAAAACCCTACGAGGCTTATAGTACACAAAATTACTTCATCATTTATGTTTAAAGTTTATAGATATTTTGTTCTTACCTGTTGATAGTTATCGTCGTCATGACGGCCCGCTTCTCGGGCGGACAGCCACAGCCGCAGGCGGATGCGACCCTGCACTGAAGAGCGCTGAGACCTGGCTTCCAGCTTGTACCATGCCTCTACGCCAGTCGATGGGATCTCCCGTAGGGGAATGTTTACGGAACCTAGATGTAACAAAATTGCAAAAATCTTACAAAACAATAAATATAAAATGGTGTACGATACGTTTAACGGAGTACGATTTTCCTTCAGGGATATTTCGTCCAATACATTCTTATTTCTTTTGTATTTGAATACTATTCCATACTCCTAATGCTTAATATTTTTAGCACTGTATATTTCAAACCCAATTTACGAGGAGTTTTTAAAAATATGCCATTTTGAACTATATTATTAAAGTACTTCTAATTGCTAGGGAAAACGAGACAAAATGAGAATTACTTGGAAGTTACGTTTAGGTACATGGTAATTTCTCAGTTTTTAGCGCAGTCTTCCACAACGTAATTTCTATTTAATGGTACATTTCATGACATAATTGGCACTTAGAGGATTATGAGCAAGGAATAACAATATCATTTAATTTGTGATTGTTTAAAATTGGGTTATAACTTTATAAGTTTATTGGAGCCGTGTAATATAAATATTGCTGAAATTTTCGTGCGGTTTCGAAACTAAAGTGACGGTAGAGTTTACAATTAATATAACTCTTTTATATAACTTTACAAATATAAAAAATACCGTACATACATTAAGGAAAGTGATAAATAAACAAGAGATGATCCTCACAGGCAAGTGGAGCACCCGCCTGTCCTCGCATCTTACAGAATCATTTCCACTTCACATAAAATCAAATACACATACCGCTGACGCCGCTTGTAAATAAATATTGAATTCACGCTTTCGTCCATGAATCTTGTTATATCCAATTTTAAGACGGGAACTCACATTTCATCCTATTGCCGTGAATTCAAAATGTCAGAGCAGTAAAAGAGGCTTTCGGGACTAAGAGGGATTATTCCGGCGGTAGGGGCTCAAACCAGGGTCAGTTTTGGACCGCTGTGATTGATATATTCTAGTTAACAATGAAAGGTTCAATCGCGATCTCGGAATTTTTTTAGTATTGTCTATAAAATAGAATATATATTCTATGGATACCCTGACTCTATCTTGACCATTGAATACAATTTTTAGTTAGTTATTTAATTCCGCCTTCCTCTATCTATCGGGAGACTAGACGTAGGCTGGGGTCCGAAAGGATATTCGAAAGATTCACTTGAAGCTTTCGCTTCCACATTTGTTTGCGAACGACTATGAATTGGAATTCCCTGCCTGCAGACTTGTGCCTTGAACGGTGTATAACTTGGAGTTTTTAGAGCAAGAGTAAATTGGAATAATTTAGGTGTGCATGAGGTGAACCTCATCGGCACTTTTAATCAGGTGAATGGAGGTCAAATGCGCACTTATTTTCTAATTAAAAACAAGTTATTGAAATTTCCTAAGGCTTTTGTTTACAAACTCTCACTCTCCCACTGCGTATCCTATTACGTACTGTCAGTAACACAACATACATTTTCACGAACGACTCATTATGTTACATGACACTTGTGTTACAGTTTTATATTGATTGCGAGAGAAGAGCAACGATAGCTCAACATTATACAAGCGAAAATCGAATCAATGATTTGACTGATGGCCTCGCTGTTTATCAACGTTTACGGTTTATCCCATTAAAACTTATATTAGTAACTGACGTCCGTATTTGCATATACAGCGTGTCCCAAAAATCTATCAAAATATTTTTTTTCCTTAAAATTTTGAAATATTTTTACCTTCAGTCGACTTTCACTCATCGTTTTGTAAAAAAAAAAGTATTGACACCACTGCGGCAAGTTTTTTTAAAAATTGACGCAACTAACCAAGATTCCAAAATGGTATAATACTTTAATAAAACTAGGCGCCAAAAATATTGGTACCATTTCTAAGAAAGATTAAAATTCTAGATTATTGTTCTTGTGTCGATGTGCCGAAAAAAGGTTATGTGTTGCAATTTCTTGGAATTTCAATGGCACGTGTACGTAGTCGATACAATTTAGAAATTAGAGAGAGAGAAAAATACCGAGAGATATACGTTAGAAAGAGATAGATAGATGTCCTTTGTTGAATAGCAATAACGCAGGTAGAGAAGTTCCGGTGCGCAGCAAGTCAGTACGCTCTGCTCCTTTGTTTACTGCGCACCTTTCCGTAATCAATTGACGTAGCTCTCGTACTAACGACTTTTGGCTTGGCTTATTGGACTGGATTTAAGTGATCTGCAAACTAAATTGACCTGGCATCACTTTGGACTGTGAATTGGAGTTTTGGCGTATTTTGAACTGATTATCGTTTATCATGCCGCTACCATACACACCGGTGGAATACGCTAAGATGCACCTCATTTATGGAGAATGTCGGTGCAATGCTAACGCTGCCAGCAGATTGTATCGAGAAAGGTACCCAAACACTGAAAGATACCCGGATTATCGAGTATTTTTGAATGTGCATCGAGCGTTTTCGGAGGGTCATTTTCCATCTGCCAGAAGAAACGCTGGAAGACCGAAATCGGAATGCGATGAAGAAGTTCTCAATGAAATAAACATTGATGCAACTACCTCAGTACGTGCCATAGAAGCAGCTACGGGAATCCCAAAAAGTACGGCACATCGAATTCTGAAACGTCACAAGCTCCACCCATATCACTATAGGCGAGTGCAGACGTTATTGCCTCGGGACTATCCACTACGGATCGCATTTTGCCGTGTGATGCTGCAAAAACACCGGGAAGATCCCCAGTTCGTAGACAAAGTTCTATGGTCGGACGAAACAACCTGCAAGAAAGATGGCTATTTAAATCTTCACAATTTACATAGTTGGAGCAATGACAATCCGCACCTGATGAGATAAGACAAATCCCAATATCAATTCAAGGTTAACCTATGGACAGGCATATTAAATGGAAAAGTGATTGTGCCCTTTGAGTTACAAGGAAACTTAGATGGTGATAGTTATTTGAACTTTTTACAAAATGATTTGCAAGAATTATTAGAAGACATCCCCTTAAGTGATGTACAAAACATGTGGTTTCAAAATGATGGTTGCCCAGCTCACTACGCCCGTCCTGTGCGAGAATACTTAACCCAAGAATATCCTGGGCGTTGGATCGGGCGGCTTGGTCCTATCTTATGGCCACCCCGTTCACCCGACCTTAACCCCCTGGATTTCTTCTATTGGGGTTGTCTCAAAGACAGGATTTACGCAAAACCCATCACAACATTGGACGAGCTTCGGCAAAAAGTCAATCAAGCTGCGACTCATATCAACGGTAGAAGATATGCACGACAGATAAAACGATCATTTTTAAGGCGATGTCGTGCATGTATTAATGCTGGTGGCAAACAATTTGAACATTTACAATAATGTTAATTTTGCAATAAATAAATTAAATGAAGAAATACCATTTGTTTTGATTTATTCAACATTTTTCAGCAACAAAAACCTATTTTCGGCAAATAGTAAAAGTGATTACTATAAATAAGAACAATAATTTAGAATTTTAGTCTTTCTTAAAAATGGTACGAATATTTTTTGCAACATTTTTATTAAGGACCTGCTTTATTGTTATTCAACAAAGGGCATCTATCTATCTCTTTCTAACGTATATCTCTCGCTATCTTTCTCTCTCTAATTTCTAAATTGTATCGACTACGCACATGTGCCATTGAAATTCCAAGAAATTGCATCAAATAATCTTTTTTCGGCACATAGTGAAAGTGATTATTATGAATAAGAATATTAATCAAGAAATTTAGTCTTTCTTAGAAATTTTTTTTTCTTATTTTTCCTCAAGTAGTTATGCGCAGGTCCACCCTCCAGCGCCCGCTTATCGTTGAATTTTGGGACACGCTGTATGTTTACTAAATCAACAACCACTTGTAGAAAGGGTCATCTAAGTTTTAGAAGCTCCTTAATGTAACAGTTGTCCATCAAAGCAATATTAAAACCGTCAAAAGTTTTCTTAAAATTAATGGAGTAAATAACAAAGATGTTAGCGTCAACTTGATATTATTTATTTATCTATTTGTAAGTAAGCTTGCTTAGTAACAAAAGCACTCCTTTTGAAAGAGTTCGTCCAGGGAAGTACTGCCACCTGACATATTTCTGCCGCCAATCAGTAATGAGACCATTACTACGTTTCGGTTTTGGAGGGTAAGGGTGCTGGTGAAATTACAGTCACATAGGGCTTTCAACTTGTCTTAGGGTGATGGGCGCAGTGGCAGTGCACCTTAGATCTTTGCGATTTAAAGCTCTGAGACGCACTGCATTTGCGCAACTGCGCCTTGAGGCCGTAGCGTTTCGTCGACGTTTGACGTCACACTGCGCCTGCCTGCGCGCAACTTCCAGCGGATTCGCTAGGCGTCGCCGACACAGCAGTTGCGAAATTCTCGTTACACAATTGACCATAAAGTTCATTATGCTATGTGCAATATTGTTACCAAAATTCGCTTAAATTCCGTTCCGCTGCAGTACAAAAGTGTGCCTTACACTCCATTTGCAAACCAAGCACTTAGCAACAGCCGAGAAATTAACCGTTATTAAAATACCTACTGAAACACATTGACTCGACCTTGTTACACGTCAGTGACATTACCATTTATCATGGATCTGTGACGGGCTTGCCTAGAAAGCGACCAGTCGCGTGTGACACCAGTGTACCCTAGGGAGTCGTCGCACAATACAACTTGTCGCTCGTTGACAGCAACAATACAAACGTGTTCTTTGTTTGATAAAGGTAGTACTTTAGTTTCCGCATATTTTATGCAGAGAAGTTCAGTACATAGAAAGCCATTTATTATATAAATCTATACCTATTAACAAATAGAAAGACCAATACCAAACTCCCATATAAATGTTTGTTGACATAATTTGTATGCGTCCGTTTATGAAAAATATGTAAAGATAAATTTATTCTGTATAAAAATTAACCTAAACACATGAATCTTATTAAATAACCTTTTATTTACATATATGCGCCAGACTCGCAAACAGTCAAATTATTGTATGTTTACATAACTTTAAAATATAGAGAGAGTATGTGAAAATCTATGTTTTTGTAGTGTTGAAATTACTGGTCAAATTTTGTTTTGGGTTTGGGTACTAATCTGAGAAATCTGAAATCAACGATATTCCAGTTTGAAGTTTTGGAGGTTATATGTTACGTAATTGAATAAAATATATTCGGTGTATTATTATATCAAAATAAACTACAGAATCCTTAAACATAACTAACAGAAGCTGAATGGTGCCGTGGTTTGTGTTCAGACAGTTCAGAGGAAATTATTTTTCATACTGGTATGGTCAAGGCATGAAGTTAAGACATAAAAAAAAACTGAACTAAGATTGAACTAACATTGTGGACCATATTCATACGTAGGTACTGAAATTCTTTTTTTGGCGGCTACATGTCGCTCAACGTTAAGAAACTGACAGTTGTAGAATCAGTCCGGTTACATAATAATTAGTCATTAGAGTTTCTTTTAAATATGATTTTATTTTCAGACTGCCGCCGCCAGCCAGCCTACTGCCAGGCCGCTATTATAATTTGAAAAACATAGTGAATTAATTTTATTCAAACTTGTAATTAAGACATTTGATGACGCTAGCGAATTCTTTTAATTATGATTTTGCCATTGTTATACTATTGAGATAAAATCACAGAACGTTTAATTATCGCATATTTTTTATAATAAGCCAAATACTATTCGATGCAAATTATTTTTTTATTTTATTTGGCATGTGATGAGTAATTTTCATTGTAGTTTTCTCCATTTATTTCGGTGGCAGTTTTTATTATTTAAATATTGTAATGAAGTATTTTATTTAATATTTGAGTGTGGTATCCTCAAATATTATTTAATATTTCAAGATTAATGTCGTACTGGAATACTTAAATAATAAAAATTGCCACCGAAATTAGGTGGAGAAAACTAACCTGAAAATTACGCTGTAACGAGAGCCCTTTCATATGATGGCTAGCCCAATCAACTAGTTGCTCCGCCTTCAGCTATCGATCCCACGGTTTAAAACCCAATTTTTAAATGTTATACTTTCAAATGTTTTTAAATATTTTTCGTTTCTCAGAAAATCAGTTACGACCAACAGGCAAACACTGAAGTCTTGCCATAAGGATTCTTTTCATATCATAGTTTCGAAACTCTAAACATACTTAAATAAAATGACTTATAATCAATACTCACAAATAATCACTTCGAAAAGCTTATTTATTAATATGAATGCGGGTCGTTTCGTAAAATAAACAAGTACGTAGAATATTTTCCACCTTCTCAATTGAACCGTGATAAAAGTGCATTCTCGGTTCACCTGTAGGTACCTTATATGCGCGAGCATGAGTCATTCGAGCTTTCAAGCGCTGCCTTCATAATTACTTATCGATTATGTGTCCGCCGCCTAGATTTTAACGTAGATACCGATCTACGTGGTTTTTATGGCTGCGACTTCATCGTAAAAGCTTTGGCTTTTAGCCATATTATTTCATTAAGCAAGTGACACGAACTACGTGCATGATATATGAAGACTGAGGACATAACATATGTTATTTTATTTTCGCACTTTTGTCAAGCAATCTTTAAATAAAAAGTTAATATGTTGTAAAACATAACATTGGTTAATTCTAGGACTTTGGCAGATTTTTTTATCGTAAATAACTTAACTTATCGTAATTAACTTTGGCGGCAAAGTCATATCGGACACTCCCAGGATTGGTTTCCAAACTTATTTGGCAATTATTTGGCAAAAACACATTCCTTTTCACTCTTATTTTATATTCAATAAAATGTAAAAAGGCAATTTTTGGAAATATTCATGTAAATATCTATTATACTAATCCATAATATTTTTCTTTGAAAGTATTAACCAACAGCTATTGGGTTGTCCAATAAGTCCGTACGAAAGTAAAGTATGAATGAAAAACATTCGATAAAATAAATTAGGCCATGTTGATCTTACAGTCTTTTGTCATCCATCGGGTAATTTTAATAATTCCCCTTTAAAAAAAATGTGAATACTTCTAAAATACAGCTCTAAGTGTCGACTCATGGTCTCTTTTTTATCAAAATTCAGTCCATTCAAAGAATTTTGCAAGGACCGAAACAAGAGAAAGGGGCTATGTCGAACGAATACAGTGTATGAGGTAACACATTCCAACCTAACTAAAAAAACAATAGTTTTTGACGTCTTTGTAAGATGTTTGGTATTGGTATTTGTTACTTGGTGTAGCGGGCTGGTGTCCGCAACTGGTTTACATGTTTGGTATTATTATAATGTTGAAATAGGACACCTTTACTTACTAAACTTAAAACTTTCCATAGTAATAAATAATGAATAATAATTGATCAATATTTTAAAATGAAAAAAATAACATTTTTGTTTATGCTTAGGTAGTGGCAACCACACGAACTTTTTAGCCAACCCAATATATTCCAGTTTTTTTTTTTACATTGATGATTTCTTAAAATTGAAGAACCTAATATTCGTTGTGCTAACATTTTTTCTTTAATTTAAAATATATATCTAATGACAACCTATCAACTAGGAACATTGGCTTAGAGCGTCACCCGCAGACCATAGAGGCCTGGCGAAAGACGGTCAAGTTATTGCTTGTTACTAACCAAGGAAATCGTCCTGGCTGCCCTGCCTGGCGCTCTGGCAAACCTGCTTGAAGAAGCGACCTAGCCCACGCACGCCTCGCACCTCGTTCAGGCGTGATACAGCGTCCAACACCGAGCTCTCGTCGTCGTGATCCCAGATGTCCAGGTGCAGCACATCCGTCGATATATCATCAATATCACTGGTAAAATACATCACCATCGTTAATATTTTGCCTGGCAATTTTATGTAATTATTTGGCACATTATTACTATCCCCAAGAAATTATATGTAACAATATCGCGTGGTAAATATTTAGTTTCATAAAGATAAATCTTGTAAAATGTGTAGAAGTGTAAGGAATATGCAGAAAGCTTGATTCTTATGTGGTTGAGAATGTATAGTATATGCTCACTTGTAGTTTGGCGTAATTTAAAGCATTTTACTAGATGATATCATAGATATTATTTGGTGAATCTAATTTATCTGAAGTAATCTTGTTTACTATATCCGAAATAGCAGCTCAGTTTACTCAGAATTATTCTACGCCTCCACTAAAGTTTGAATGTACCCAGTTATAGCGGCTAAGTTTGCATTTTACAGGTCAAAGATTGTTGACGAAAATTGGATTTACATTTTCAAGTTTTTCCTCGCATTACTGGCTAATGTGAAACACCTTAATTGAATTACTTTTATAAGTTGAGGTCATAGTCGTTACAACTTGAACTAATATTTTGTCCAATCATATCTGTGCAATGTTAAACAGAATAAAAAGAAGCAAAAAGTCTTTAAAAACCAAAAATAAAGATCTGCAACAAGCACATACAAAATTTCGTAAGGTGTAGTTCGTCCCGTAGCTCAATTGGGAGAGCACCAGGCACGATATGGTGACGACACTAGTATGAATGTAGCCGGATTGAAGGAATTTTTTTAGTGTTCGATCTTTGTAATAATAATATAAAAAGAAAATACTCAAAAAATATCGCATTTTTCTGATAAAAAGCATACCAGGAACTCTAAAATATTTTTTATTGAATATTTAGAGAATCACCACATTTATTTCGTTGTCGTTCAGCGAGTAATACGATATTAAATGGTTCTGGCCTTTTAATTTGTTTTCTTGTGTTATATTTGTCGTAAAATCAAATGTGAATTATTCTACATACAATTTTAAACGCTATCCGTGAAAAATCAGTATTCATTGAGATTATTTGTTGGCTCTTCTCTTAAGCGTACTTCTGATAGTTTAGAATTGTAATACAAAATAGATATTGTTTAGTATAATAATAATAATAACGCACACACTCAACATAGCACCGCACTAGGGAAACCCTGTGTCGCGGGTGCCATGGACACACACATAGACAACCACAAATTACACCCAAACTCACGAGACAAATAAATGTAGGCCATACACATATTTCTCCCGGCCTGGGAATCGAACCCAGGACCTCTGCATGGCAGTCCGGCATGGTAACCGTTCGGCCACGGAGGCAGTTTTTGGCAGTATGGAAATATCTAGAACGATATATAATAAGTTTAGTATTTAATGCGTAATTGATTAACCTTATTCGTTTAAGTGATTTTCAGGTAAATGAAATGTGTTTTGTGGTTTAAGTAAAACCACACTGATACATTTTTTCTTACGTGTTCTATGAGTAAAGCATTAATTATATGGGTACACTTAAATATTACATCTGGGTTTTTTCCTACCTTATTAGAATTAAACAATTAGGTTGTCTGACATACCTACGCAATATACAAAATGAAACTTATGAAAATATTCGAAGATTGATGCAAAGGAACATGTTTCCTGAGGAAGAAGATAATAGTTACAAGAATCAAAGTTTGTGGCATAACTTCTTAAACAATTCAAAACTCAAATTACAATTCCAGGAAACACAAACACCCATATTTCCTGAAGATTGTAACTGGGGTTGGTTTAAATTCATAACTAATGTTAATTAGCATTTACTAGGTTAGTGTCATTGATAACCTCATTATCATTAGAAGACACTTCATGGAAACCAACAGAAACATAAATAAATTAAGTAAAAAATGTTATTTTCTTACAACTTGAAAGTTTCGTTCCACTTAGGAGATAGTGTATGAGGCTTGACACTGGTAGCTCGGATGTAGCGCGCGGGGAGTCGACCCAGGGAATCTCGATGCTGCCTTCCGTCGCGACGCTTGAAGCTTAGCCGGAATCCATGCTTGCGGCCCTCGTCTTCGGAGGCTCGAGGCGACGCTGGCAACGACGCTGGCTGGATTCCCAGCATACAGTACGGATCACTAAACCCTGTACACAAGTAAGAAAGACATTCTAGTATTGGTAGCCCAATCACAGCGGAATACTCATCAGTATTCACGTAAATACAAAAACCATTGCCAAGTCCAGATTGGTTGAGATATAAAATAGGATAATAATCGAGTTCTTAGGTTTTCGCGATTGTTACACATAGGAAATGAAAATATTTTTCCGGATTTAAATCGCGTATATTTGTTTTTTCAAACAAACCGACGTTTCGGGCCCTTTACAGGTCCCATGTCAACCGTGACCATGGGACGTAAGCTAGGGCGGCGTCGTGGTGAATGTTCACTGATCCCACGGCGCCGACTCAACCGGCGAGAGGGAAACCCGGGGGGGTTTTAGTGGGGTAGGCCCTCCAGTCTCGAGGGAGAGTCCCCACATAACCCCTGAGTCTCTCTGGGCTCAGGGGTATCCATAAAATTTTTCTTTCAAAAAAAAAAGGTGGTCGGCTAGGGTGTGGGGTGGGCTAGGGGGTGGGGTTAGGGGGTGGGTGAGGGGGTGGATGAGAGGATGGATGAGTGGGTTTGAGTGAGTGGGTGAGTGGGTGGGTGAGCAGGTGGATGAGCGGGTGAGTGGGAGGGTGAGTAGGTGGGTGAGCGGGTGTGTGAGTGGGTTGGGTTAGGAGGTGGGTTAGGGGGTGGGTAAGAGGGTGGGTTAGGGGGCGGGTTAGGGGGTGGGTTAGGGGGTGGGTTACTCACCCCCTGACTTACCCATTAACTCGCCGCCTAACCCACCACCTTACTCATCCCTAACCCAACCCCCAACCTACCCCCTAACCCAATCCTCAAACTACTCCCTAACCCACCCCCTCACCCACTCCCTTACCCACCCCCTAACTGACCCCCTAACCGACCCCTAACCGAACCCCTCACCGACCAACCAACCGACACCCCGGTACTGTCGGTTTTAATTGTTAGTTTCAATTGTTTCTTAGAACAACTAAAAAAATTTATTGTAATTAATTTAATGCAATTAAAATCAATTCAATTGAAATCAATTGCGACACCTCGCAGTTGATTTAATTGCAACTGATTTCAATAGAATTAAAAAATTTTAATCTGATTGAAATTTAATTGATTAACGCCCAACACTGCCGTCGACACGGGTTCGAGTGACGCCGCAGCAGGGCAAAATTTTTAAAATTAAAATTTGACTGATACAAAACAATGAAAAATATAACAAATTAATGATTACATTAGCTGCAACGGATCTAACTCAGCATACGTCACAGCTCGTCAGCTGTAACGCTGGTATTCAGATGGAACCGCTTTTATAAGATGAGATGGCACGAAAGTACCAATGTTAGTTAACACTAAAATTATAATAGGTATATAACTTAAAATACTAAAAACAAGTAGAAAAATTACTAACTATAGAAATTATTACACTAATTGAATGTATATAAAATACTGCACTTGTTACCAATTATTATGCACTTGTGAGACATTTATAAAGAAGGACTGGGAATCTGCTGGGGCTGCCATTATTGCCGCGAGCAATTTCTCCTATTTAAAATTTATACTATTCTTTTTAAAAAAATATAAAGAAATAAAAATAAACAACTAAAAAGTCCAATGTCAACTGTCATGTACGTCAGTGCCCGAACGAGATGTCCGACACTAGCATGCCACTAGGAACTATTCTATTGTGAACCTCGAGGATTCGAAGTCTTCAGAAATCGTATTTCAGGCATCGTGAAATGCCACGATGAATTGAGGAATACCACCGAAAACAATGAGCGCCCAGTTACACGACGCGAAAGTTTTCGCACGGCTGTTACCGCGCTTTCACGTACATTAATCTGAGTTCTATTTACTAGGCAACAACATTTAAATTCTTTGCAATAATACAACCGCGCGGCCGTCCGCGCAGAAGCCATGCGTACGCCGCGTAGACCAAGGACTAGCCAGCCTCGAACGCGCGCCTGAGACGCTCATTCAACTTAAAACGTAAATGCCAAATAAATAGAGCGTAGCAAAACACGATCCATTCTGAGCACAACGAGAGAATAAAAATTTAAAATATTAATACCAAAGCAGTCTGGTAATTAATAAATAACTAATCAAAGCTTGTTGTTCTAAACGGGCTGCCGAGTGATGCGATAAATTAAGCTACGAGGGCTCACGAGTAATCGCTGTGATCGCTGCCACTAATAATAACCGTTTTAAGTCTTGTAACCGTTAATAAATTGTGTTCAAGCGGCTATTCACTCCCTCACAAGTGTATTTTCTACGATCAAAATGTTATGACAATGTCATACTCGTCAAAACACAACACACACATTCCCCATCCAACGAATTTTAAAGCTTAATTTCGTTACACCACTTACCAAATGTACATACATATGTCTTAATAAGAACTTGCGTACAAAATTGGATACCATTTTGAATAAACTCCCGTCAAAACTTTTGCTGTGTACATTAAACTGAATGTCAACATTCTTAGTAATTTTGCAAGGCAATCATATTTACATTCGGAATTTCATGTTGTGATTGTTAGGTCACTCTTATTTAGAAATGAACAACCATTTTGCTGTGCTCAGCTCCTACTTTAAAACGAAAACATCAAAAGCAGTCCAAGACGATTTTAATTGGGTAAAATGTTAATTCAAATAATAAGACATGTACATTTGGTAAGTGGTATAACGCAATTAAGCTTCAAAAAATGATCTAGAGCTAACTGTCGTACGCTACACATTTTCTCGATTTCAGAATAATATCGCTTGTTCTAAGTCTGTCAATCTCATTCGCAGTATAAATGTTAGATCTAAAGATTTTGAAATCTTACCTCGTACATATTCCGTTTTTATCGATTGTAATTGTTAAATGATCAGTAGAGAATTTGTTTATACTTAAATCAAGAACTGTCAAGTATGTTTCGATGGAAGTAATATAGTGAAACAGAATTGAACGTGTCGTTTCGGTATCAAAATAACGTATTTATCAAACGACGAACTTATATCACATTCCAAAGGAACATATTATCTAGTACATTGTCAAATCTGTCTCATTTTCATTTGACTTCGCGTGAGACATATTGACCTCTACTTCCTCCGACAATTTGTTGCATGTCGGGCGCCCAGATTCTACTTATGCGTACATGAGGCAAACCCTTAGATTACGAAAAACAGATTTGCGATCGACATTTGAGAAACTCAATAATAATATTTTCCTCTACCGCTCAATGATCGGACGTGCTGTTACATAAAATAATAAATATATTTTTTTTAAATAGTTACTATACAAAATAAATACTTGGTACTTGGTGTTGCGGACACCAGCCAGTTACACCAAGTATTTATTTTGTATAGGAACTATTTTTACGTCGCGCAAATAAACGAAATAATAATATAATAAATACACTTAATAAAAATAATATGCATTTAATGCAGTCAGCAATGGATCCACGCAACGTCACAAAACAAAAATTAAATGGATCCACGTAATGTCAGTATTACAAAAAAATTACGTGGATCCACGCAATGTCAATATTACAAAAAAAAATACTACGAGTATACTGGTATGAATACTTAAATGGAGTGAGGACCATACATATATCAATCGCCTACAATCGCCTCTAATGATCTGGAAACCTCTAGTAAAAAACCTAATATACCCACGTACGAATGTTCGTCTCAGACTCACTTTTTTAAAATTGAGTACGGTAAATCTCTATATAGAGATATAAAGGCCTTACAATCAACTTCTTGTTGCGACACATTTATACAGATAACGTTATAGCATGACCGTCGCATCGACGTGATCGGCTATGAGCGTATAGAATTAATTAATTACCTTTTAACGCTTATTACGGTAATGATATTCTATTTGATCTCATATAGATATATTCCAATTCTGGGGAGTCATTATTCATTTTTATTAAGACATTAGGGTTTACGAAATAAAATCAATACATTCTTTTATTGTTTTAATAAGTTTACATTGATATATGAAAGAGTACCACTAATTATGTAATTTCAAAAAATATGTAATTTCTAAATATCTATTTGTCAATATCTGTTTAAAGAAAATATTTTAGTACAATTCAAATAGCCACAAGATGTCTATTTTGCTTCATAAGCAGAATAGATATGGTAATGACGATAAAAATAAAGACATACCATTAGCGTCTTTGGCTTCAAGTCCATCAGCTTCAATGACAGTGCAGCCGAGCACGACAGTCGGCGGGCGCTCGCTCCCAGCAGCGCGCAATGCACGCGCATGTACTTCAGGAGCAACCCGGAACGCACGCCGAGCGTACTCTATTACTTCCTCTTTGTAAGCTGCAAATTGACCGCCTGGAGCTGGTGCGCCGACAGCATTCTCGATGCAATACAACACCTATTAGATAATACATACTTGTTATTAATTTATTAATTTCCCGGTCGAGGTCAGACAGTCGATTCGGGTTTTCAAGGGTGCTCTTTTGAAGTTTTGGGATTGTTCAAACTCCACATGTTAGAGCTTTTGAAATATTTATTTACATGTGATATATTTATTTATAGTTTTATTTTGTGCATTCATTTTATTATAGTCTTTGTATTGTGTATAATGTATTAATGTATCAACATTACTTAATATATATGTATTCGTATGTACATTTGATTTATTAAATTTATCTGTGTATTTATTGAGTATAGTATATTCCATTTCTTTACTTATCTATTTTTAGTGCCACCCCAAAAACCAACTTTCCTCTCAGATTTTCAAAGGTTAGTTGGAAGAAATCTCTTTATGGGATAAGCTCGCTTTTGTACACATTATATTTAAATTATTTCTGAAAATGTGTAAGTTACTTTGTGGTACAATAAAGTGTTTAAATAAATAAATAAATAAATAAATAAAATGTGGTTTATATCAAGAAGTGCAACTTTTTTTTTGCTATACCCATAACTATTAAGTTTATATAACACTATACCCTGGGAAACTGTTTTAAAACTAAACAAACATTAAATTTTGAATGCCAACATCTATGTTTTCGCCAGTAATGTTACTGATTACAAATAATGAGAGGTAATCAAGACATA